CACTTTGATTTTTCTCCAAATTACACTGGAGTTTCCTGGCTGTACAGTGAGGCTAAAGCAGCTAGATGGGAGGCTTTATAACATGGGAGAGCGTCTTTCCCAATAGCTATTTATAGATGTGTCTAGGCAGCCATTGCTTTTGAATGTGTTCTCAAGATTAAATCTGACTTTTATAGCATTTACAAGGAAGTTAGCACTTCCCTTTAGGATTTTCCACCTCGTACATATAACCCTGCCAGAACTTACAAGCTGTAGACACAATAGCCTGTACCAGAGAACTGTGTCACTAGCCATGTGAGGATTTCCTTAGCCAAGAAGCTGTTCTATATATACATTTCCACTCAGACTGTTACTCATTAAACACTGAAAAGATCAGACGTTAGAAAGCAGAGCTTATCATGGTGGCTTCTTGTCACCTGAGACATCAGGTAACTGTGGACTTTAGAAACCATGGAAAGCAATTGCCTCAGATTGCCTCAGACCTTTTCGTTTGGCTTGGAAACCATATTGGGATGGCCATTGCTGTCTTAGTTTCTTCCTCTTCCGTAATGGAAGAGGAATTCTTCCATGCTGACAACATAATTTTTACTAAATTGAACACCACCGTGGTGTAAGTATGTACACTTCGAGGAATACTAATATCAACTGCATTGCAGTAGTGTGCAAATATCCTACAAGGTTCTTGGTTACTTTCTGTGCTCGATTGTACAAACCTGAGAGCTTTTCCCCCCAGCCCAGAGATGTTTCCATCTAAGAGTGCAAAATTCTGGTTTTCTCCTAAGTCAGGGGATCATAAGGTATATTTATATTTAATGATAAAATTTATATTTAATGATAAAAGTGGGGAAATATACAATTAATGATGAAAAATCATCTTTCCTAGATAGTCAAAGCAACCCAATCAGAAAGAAAAGTCAGAGCACCAAGGTATCTTGCATCATTATGCTGACCATGAGTCAGCAGTGTGCCCCGTGGCCAAGAAGGCCAATGGGATCCTGGCTGCATCAGGAGGATGTTGCCAGCAGGTGGAGGGAGGGGATCCTGCCCCTCTGCTCAGCTCTGGTGAGGCCGCACCTGGAGTATTGGGGGCAGTTCTGGGCTCCCCAGGACAAGAGGCACGTGGAGCTTCTCGAGAGGGTCCAGAGAAGAGCAACCAGGATGGTTAAGGGAATGGAACATCTCTCGTATGAGGAGAGACTGAGTGAGCTGGGCCTGTTTTCTCTGGAGAAGAGACGGCTCAGAGGGGATATGATTAATATGTATAAGTTCAGGAAGGGAGAATGCAGGGAGGAAGGGGACTGGCTGTTCTCACTGGTGGCCAGCAATAGGACGAGGGGTAATGGCCACAAGCTGAAGCACAGGAAGTTCCGTCTCCAGGTGAGGAGCAACTTCTTTCCTGTGAGGGTGACAGAGCCCTGGAACAGGCTGCCCAGGGAGGTTGTGGAGTCTCCTACTCTGGAGATCTTCAAAACCCGCCTGGATGCCGCCCTGTGCCACATGCTGTAGGTGTGCCTGCTTGAGCAGGAAGGTTGGACTAGATGATCTCTAGAGGTCCCTTCCAACCTTAAATATTCTGTGATTCTGTGTGATTCTGTGATTATATTTGCCTTGGGCACAGGTGTGCGGGAAGCACCTTGCTACTCCATAGAGTCTGTGGCTGAAAGTCATTGCATTAGACACAAGTTATAAAACCTGCCCTCGCACACTTGCAGGGCTGTATTCCAAGTGTTCACAAGTAAAAGAACCCCACCAAAAAGGGGGTGGGGTCAAAAAGGGGGTTATCGCTCATGTCCTTTACAGGAGCAAGGAGCGCCTTTGGAATGGGAAGAATTGGCATTCTTAGAGCCAGTTCTCTCTTGATCTGAATAGATGAATAATACGAGCCAAATTGGCCTTCAGTGGTTTGCAATGACTAGAGCTCTCTCCCATAATGTTTGTAAGGCTGTTGTTTGGAGATGGTGCCTGCACTTGCTCAGCATCACTGGCTACCCGCTTGTGCTTCATCAAGCACTGCATTCAGGAGCACTTTTGATTAGGAAGTAGTTTCAGCACAATTGCAAGTGAGGCCACTTGCATCACTCCCAGGAGCCCAACCAAAGACAAGGATGTGCTGAAAAGGGTAGTTTGTGCTAAAAATAAGTGTGACCTTCTCAAATCAGCACCTTTCTGAAATTCTACTGAAACAAAACAGATCTTTCAACTCTTGTAAGGACAACAAAACTCATATTATGTTTGATAATTGCCTCCTGGTGAAAAGCTACCTTTGGATGCAACTGGTGTCCTGCTCCCGTTATTTTACTGGCATGGGCACTGATGCAGATGTCAGCTTAAAACACTGACAGGTCAAAACAGACATGTTTTGCATTTATTTTGTATGAATTCCAACAATTGTATTAATATTACAGCAACAGAGAATCAGACCTTTTTCTCTCTTCTTTCCCTTCCTTTCTCAGAAAACAACCTGAAGAATGACAGAATTCTCTCCACCTAAATATCTTTGTGTTATTAATCTCTTAGGAGGCAGTAAGAGAGTACATTTATTGATTAATTCTTCTCAGTTAAAAAAAAACAAAAAATCCAGTCCATGAAATAACAGAGTAAGCATGTTGGGATTTATTCAATTTCTTGGAGTCTGTCTCCGGTACATATTTACACAGAGTGGTGCATCTCTGTGAATAAGCATGGGAGTGATGGTGCAGATCACCTGCTAGAAAAGCTTTGATAACTGCCCGGTGTTGTGGCTGAGGTTGGTCTGCACCACCTTGGTGCTTTCCATGCAGTGTTGGACAGTGTTTGATGTTAGTGCTGACAGGCAGCAGCAGAAGCAGCCCCCCTTCTGCCCCAGAGTCCTAGTGCGAGCCTGGGCTGGTTTGAATTGTCAGCTTGCAGACCAGTAGTGGATGAATAAGGTCTGCATGGAAGAACTGGATTGCTTGATATGTTTCTTCCTGTTTAGCTGTTGCTCCTCATCCATATTTGAAAGAATAATTTTGTATTGGATGGTAGTAATTGCAATTGAAATGTTTGTAGATTAAGATAAGGTACTTCATTGCTTCACTGTGTGCTTAGAAGGGCAAATTTTGGAAGTAGCAAAATAAAGTTTCAAAAAATGGTGTGAAGAGAATGAAATTAAACCCCTTTTCTGTTTAGATCTATATATAATAGAGATAGAGAGATTTTATCTTTAGTTCAAACCCTTTGAGGGAATCTGTGTTTCCAAGTATTACACTTATGTCTGATGTTTATTTCTACTTTGGGCATTCCTAAGGGCCGTAAATGAAGCTCCACTGGGCACAGAAACAAATAGAAAGAAACAGTTTCTGCCCTAGAGAGCTCATGGTGAAGACAACATGTAGGAGGTGATTAAGGAGACAAATGGAGGGAACACGTAGGGAAAGTGTCTGCAGGCAGGTACTGCTGTGTCAGTGTCGTGCATTGCTATCAGCTTAACCAGTGCTAGATGGAAACTCTTCTCTTGGAGCAAGTGTGTGCTGTTCCCCAGTATGCATCCTCACACGTGATATGAGAGACTGACAGTTTCTGTATTATGCGACGTTATTCTTGCTCTTTTATCTTTGCCATCCGCTGACATTGCTTGGTTAAGGGGGTCACTCAGTGCCTCATATTAAATTTTATTTTTTTCTGGACTCAGGCTTTGATTAATGAAAACAGAGAATCAGCCAAGTTTCCAATTTATGTGTTTGAATAATAATAAGCAGGCATAGAGTGTAATAAATCATTACTCCTTGTGGAATGTATTGCCCTACAGTGAAGTCTCTATTCCAATTTAGCTATAAGATCTGAAATTTTATTTAAAACTAAATATCCAATAAGGCAAATTAATTATTGTGACATCTTTAATAGGATAAATGCTGAGGAATCAGCTGTGTCTGTGAAATTGCAAGTCAAAATGCCACACTCAGAACTTGTTAATGCTTTTTCTGGTATAGGGAAAGGAGACATAGGCATCTAACATTAAATGGTGTTGTAGAAGGGCAAGTTAGCACTTTGTTTGCCAAATTAAGTTTCAAAGACTATGTAGGTTACAAAGTTTGACTTTCTGCCCATAAATCTTGAATGATTGATGGACTACTGTAAAATAGCTTTGTTCAGAAAGAATCTTTGGCAGGTGGCATCAAAGGTTTGAAACTCTGGGAGGGATGAAAAGAAAACCCCACTTTTACACTGATTTCCCCTGCAGATCAGTGCCTGCATGAAATTTGCCTGGGAATTATGAGCTATTTACTGCATTATGCACTGTGGTTTTTTCTCACTATATCCAAAGGCCCCTGTGGTTCCTTTTATCTTCAAGATTTAGGGGTGGGGGGTGGTACATGAAATGTGGATGAGTGAAAGCATCCATAGAACACAGGCAAAAATGTGTTTTTAGACAGTTCTATTCTATCACAAGTTTGAGTATTAGTTTTATGGCACCTATATTTATGGGTTCATATTTTTATGGTAAAGCCCAATGACATGTTCTGCATGCTCTATCAAGCTTTCTCAGTGTTTCTTCGTTTGATTCACAACTCAGAAGGGTATGAATCAGTCCCGTAGCATAACCCTTAATCTCTTTTTAACATGAATAATGTAGTGTATTTTTTTATTTACGATGCGTTGCTTCATCTAATTGTGTCAACCTAGCCAAACAAATGGCAGGCTAAATGTTTGCTGAGAAAACTCTTGTCAGCTGTCCATCAGTTCAAAGGACAAAGTTTCTTTTTTTTGTGCACAGGCAGCTGAGACAGGAAGTTCTCAGTAACACACAAATATTGAAGTCTCTCCTCAACTAAGAGAGGGAACCAGGGCATGGGCCAAAGAGGAAATGGTCTGGGAGGGCAATTCCTGCTTAGAAATGCAACATACCTCCTCAGTTACAGTGAAAGGCATGCGGAGAATGAAAGATCCCTTTGTTTTCCGTTGTCTGTTTTAGTTTTCTGTATTCATTAGTAGAAGTTGCATCGATGTAAAGCACTTCAGCTCTTGTTTGTCCTCCACAGGGTGAAGTGCAGAAGTGAAGCCTCCCAGCTGAACTACTATGAGGTCAGAAGCCTTGCTGCTATATTTCACACTGCTACACGTCGCTGGGGCTGGTTTCCCAGAAGATTCTGAGCCAATCAGTATTTCGCATGGCAACTGTAAGTATAAACAGCAAAGGTCTTAATTTCCTTGGTGCCCATCAGCAGACTCCCCGTTAACAATATTATATTACAGTGCGATGAATGAAAATGTTTTCCCCGTCTGTCCCAGGTCAGCCAGTTTGCATTCTCCAACATTAGTAGAAGAGCAAGATGTTTTCCCTTTCACTTATGATTACTGGGTGATGAAATGCTTGTTCCTCAAAAACAGGAGCCTCTCTCCTCCTCAGACAGACACTTAAATAGCATAATGAAACCCAATTTCTTGTTTTATCTAGGAGCAAATCAGGGAAGCTTTATTTTCATGATCAAAGAGTTCTCCAGCTTTTGTGATTTGTGAAAACAATGTTCTGGATAACCAATCAAGCACCTCAGTATATTGAGTGTAGCACACTAACGAAATTAAGCTGCAAAAACATATTTCATTGATCTAACACAAAGAACCAAACTTATTCCTTCAAGCACTGATGGATTCCGCAGTAGCATTTGGCATTTTTGCCTAGAAAGCTTACTGTAGATTTTGACTTTAAAAAAAAAAAAAAAGCAAGAAAAAGAATCCTTTGTAACAGAATCTCTCGTTTTTCTTACTGCTTAGAGTAATTGGCAGGCTCTCCAAATCTAGGGTAAAAGACAGCTGCAAGCCAATATTGAGATTTAGTGGCTAAACAGGTGGAGAGCTTTCGGAGCATATGACCATGAAAAACAAGCTTAGCATATGTGATTATTTCTCATTTACCACAGCTCAATTACGATTACACAAAAAAAAAAACCAAAGTCTTCTGAACTTCCAAGGGTTCAGATATTTAAAAGGAAGAACTTGCATCTGTAAAAGTGTGTTAATGACTGGCAAGTCAGCCGTAGGTAGCAGGTTTATGTTAGCATCTTATTTTGAATCAGGAGTTTGATTTTGAAGTGAATATCCTGATGTTCGTTGCTTTATGGGCCTTAGTAAAAAAGACCTTTTGAGATAACACTGAGCTGAAAGACAGACTCCAGCAGCACACTTAATGTGCTCCAACTGATAGGCATGCAGTCCATGGAGCAAGACTAGAGACGCTCTCAAGTAAAACTGAAACATATCTAATGTGACTGCTGGTTCTTCAAGCATTTCCAGTCAGGTGATGCTAATCACCCTTGCTAATATAGATTTAACCAGTCTTAATCATTTGGGAGTTTGGATTACTTCTCTCTCCATCACAGAGTGCTGAAATCTGCACAAATGTGCAGGCTCCCACTCATGTAAAACCAGTGAGGTATAAAGGAAACAGCATTGAACAGAGGAAAGCATGAAAGTTAAAACTTGGCACTTTGTATATAAATCTTGGTCAGAAGGATTAAGCTTCTCAAAATACGTCCTACATAAACTTTGCTAATTTGTTTCTCCAGAAATACTCAGCATCTGGTTTACAGGGAGGTTACTATTTCTGCCCAGTGCTATCACCAGGCTTTCCGACACAGGGAAGTCTGAAGTGCTCTGCCCAAACCACACTATGAATCAGAAATTTGACTAAGATTAACAGGGAGAACATTTTTAGAGGACAGTAGCTGAAAACATTGGAGCTATAGCAGAGGGAAGAGACAGACTCCTTTGAGGCACATCTATACTTCTGGGAAAATATTTTGTTGGAAAAAGCCACAGGCATGGCTGAATGCTAGTCACCTCCATCTGATACATGAATGCAGTGGCTTTGTGATAATGCTCCTTCTTACCAGAGGTTTGGGCTCCTCCTGTCTTCCATTTATCTTTCTGTTTACTAAGCTCACCACCTCTAGGTTGTGCATCTGAGGTGTCACAGTCATGTATATGGTTTAAACAGCAAGATGGCACCTAGACAAAAACAATCACTCTTTATAGACAGTACACACAGATCATCTGGTGAGACCTGTGCATCGCAGCTGTGCTAAAGGTCTCACCAGATAAACCACTGGAAAAAGCAAGTAAATACTCCTGCTGACTAGCAAAGCAAAGGGACAAATCTTACTTGTTGAGAACATGAACTCAGCACTGGGCTTCCAGTCCAAATTGCTGTCCAGTTGCCAAAAGAGCAGCAGTCTCAGACTAGTTGCCAAAATAATATTCAGTGACTTCCATTTTATAAAGTTCAAGTAATGGTTACCCACAGTTTCTCAGAAATCCCCACAGCTGCTCTACAATGGCAGCCTGATCCTGCAGGAAACCCATGGAGTTGGCAGTTTACAGGGAGCAAAGCCAAGGCTTTTGCTCTAACCAATCTAGCCTTTGTGGTGATTGATGGCCACTGTAAAACAGCTTTGTCCTGCTAGATGGGCTTTGGCAGCCAGAAACCAACATTTAAGCTCTGCAAGCAGTGAAAGAAAAACGGTGAGAAAGTGTGGAGTACCTGTATGCCAGAGCAGGTCTGAGTTCTGAAAAGTCACAATTTTCATTTTTTAAAAATGACTTTCTCCTTTACAACTGCAAACAGCAGCTGTAACCACAAAGAACTTTTCAGCCTTCTGTGCTGGTTCCTTCCTGCACAAAGCTATATTGCTGGGAGAAGAAAGGAGCTGGAGTTTTGGGAGTAGCTTGGCACACAGTTGCACCATGTTAACATGGTTTAACCTTGTGATTCTGTTTTGCCTTTTGATCTTTCTTGGTGAACCTTTTTTTTCTTCTCACAGATACAAAACAGTACCCGGTGTTTGTGGGTCACAAGCCAGGACGGAACGCCACGCAGAGGCACCGGCTGGACATCCAGCTGATAATGATCATGAACAGAACGCTCTACGTTGCTGCTAGGTCAGTAACCCCCTGTTTCTTCACTGCCTCTTGCTGTTTTTAGACTGAGAAGGATGAACAAAAAACAAAAGGAATATTCTGAGCTCATTTCAGACAGATATTCAGATATTTTACTTCTGAATTTTCTCCTCTTTGTTAATAAGACATACTAGAAACTTTCTTAGTCAGTGAAGTTCTTGCAAGGCTCAGTTTTGCAAGGTGCTGAGCCATTCCTTTAAGGGCTGGATACCTTCATCTCCCTTTGAATGCAGGTGCATGGAGATTGCCAAAGGAGTCGTTCAGGATCATCATGGAGAGAGTTCATGCTCATTATCACCTTGAAGGAACCTGTAATTTTGTTTGTGCACACAATTCATTACAAATTTTAGGGAATGATCCTGCTGGTGCACAAATTCATGTTTGATTAAGAGTTCTTAAATTTCAGTGTTACTCTTTTAGGCACATTTTAAATATCATAAAACAAAAAAAAGAGAGAAAAACATGTTTGCAACTATTCTTTTGATGTACTCAACAAAGTTAATTGAATTTGGTTTCTGGATTTTTCTTGTGGAGAACTACACTATGCAAATACAAACACATACCTTCATGTAAAAGTTGTGCATAGAGACAGCGTTTAGTTTGTGTAGCTCAGCATAGCATTATCTGCTTCAGTGGAGCTATTCTGATTTATATATTTATTTACTTATATTATATATTTAGACTTGCATATAACTGCCAGACTGAAACAGATCAGACATTAACACTTCTCTTCCTTGACTGTTCTTACCAAAGGCGCTTGACAGTCTCAAGGTGGGAATTATCCAATGGGTGTAGGATAAATTCATACAGTGCCCAGGGTAATGAGAATGGGAAGTCCAGCCCAAGAGCTCCTGGGCCTGGATCCCTGCAAGCTGTCCTGCAGCAACAGCCGGCTTTCTGTCTGATTTCTGCTCCTTCTGGAGCCGGGCAGGACCCGCTGTGCGCGGCGGGAGCCGGGCTGCTGCTGCAGACAGGAGCAGCGGCGGGTGGGCAGCGGGAGCAGCTGCCCAAGGGGCAGCCGCCCGCGCAGCCACAGCCGCCAGCCCCGTCCTCAGCGCCCTCGGCAGCCCCGGGAACCGCTCCGCTTTCCTCCCCCAGAGCTGCTCCCCGTCCCCTGGGTGGCGGGATGGGTCCCACACTGGGGATCTTGCCTGTTGACCTTCACTTGGCGTGAAATAATTAGTTGCTTTCACCAGGAGAATCATTGAGCGCAGTTCCTACATAGTCGCTTTTCTGACTACTATAAAAAACTATAAAACTGCACTGCTATTTCTGCATATGCCCAAGCTCTGCAGCTTTATCTGTTAAGTTTGGTTTCTTAAGGCTTTTTACATACATTACATCCTGTGTCACTGACTTTTGGGTTCCCACTCATTGCAAGCTAGTCTGGATTTCTGCCATGCTGCCCTTCCACTGCAATTATTCCCAAAAGCAACGGGAAGAGTAGTGGAGGTCTTGCAGCCAAGAAGGTGTGGGGATTGAGGTTGTTAAACAAGGATCATATGTTTTTTTACTGTGAGGGTGACAGAGCCCTGGCACAGGCTGCCCAGGGAGGTGGTGGAGTCTCCTTCTTTGGAGATGTTCCAAACCCACCTGGATGCCGCCCTGTATCCCGTGCTCTGGGTGTCCCTGCTGGAGCAGGGAGGTTGGACTAGATGATCTCCAGAGGTCCCTTCCAACCACAATCATTCTGGGATTCTGTGATGTTCTCCAAACACTGTTTTTTCAGTACTGCATTTTCATGACTAGGTCATCACACTGCTTCTTACATGTGCACTCCCTTCTCCCAGGTAGCTCAAGCCTTACTTACTTGACATGCACAGCTTCCAGGCACAGAAAGCAGCAAAAGCTCACGTCAGAGCTGGTATCTGCAGTGCAGAGCATCCTCGCAGGAAATGACTGGCCACCTGGGCCTGCCCCTGGTTTTCCCTTTGTGTCAGGTCTTGGCAAAGAGCGTGTGGTTACACAACATGGCACTGCTGTTTCTTTTCTTCCCTGGAGTACTTGGATTCATATTGTGAATATTTTTGTTGGCCAGGCCAGAGCCAGATATCCAAGTGCACTGCATCTTCTCCCTTCCTCAGGGAACTGTTGTGGACTTGATTGCAGGGTGCAAAGAATGGGCAGTCCCACAGGGAGGCCTCTCTAGGCTTTACTTAGCCCAGTGCTTAATATTCTTGCTACTTTTAGTGTGATAAAGAGCCAGGCTGGGAATGGAGTTTTTTGAAAGGTGGTGGCAGGATTTCCTTCTTTTCATGGCTAAGTTCCCTTTGCTTTCCTTATTTGTTTTCTTTTAAATCAGCAAATTATTTGCAAAGAGAAGGTGGTAAATCCGCTTTGCAGATTTCACACTGCTGTACTTATAGTTTGTTCCCAGACTGAAAAACTGACGCAGTTGCAATGTTGCAGTGTCCAAGCAATTGCCTCTACAACAGGAAAAGCCTGCTAAATATTTTAGGATATGCAACTATTGTGTGCAAAAGATATAAAGAACATTGATGTTTGTGGGGGAGTATGTGTATTTGTATGTGTGTATGCATTCTTTGTGGCCATGGACATTTTTAAAGTGTTATAACAAGAGAGGGCTGAGATACCTCTAGGAGCTAGTAACCTGAAAAAAAAGAGCCAAGATCTAATCTGCTTTGCTCTTACTCAAGCACAAGAAATCTTCTTACCATTTTTTTTTCTTTCAGTAACTCAGAAACTTTTAAGTGTATCCTTTTCCTCATCCATGTGTCATTGAATCCTTGCTGGTCTGAGAAGACTATGTGATATAAGTTAAAAAGCAAAGGTCATTTTTAACTTTGAGTGATAAATTCCAGAAAATGAGTCATCTTTTGATAATTAGTGTGAATGAAAGTTTATAGCTGTAACACTGCATCTCCTTTAGTGGTTGTAATAAACCTAGAGACTGAAACAAATGTGAACACAATCAAAGGTGTTTCTCAAAAAGCCTTGTAACAAGATTAATTAAAAACTATAGTTAGCATAAATTCCTTAGCTATCATATCAGTTCTTGTGTTTGTGCTGTTTTTTTAAGATATCTAAACATAGTGATACTAAGTTTACATGTATACCCAATTATTTGAAAAGCCATAAAAACAGATGACTAACCATTGAAAGTCTAGGCCTGGAATTAATTGGATTTTTTTTTTCTTTCTAGTTTGCTTGCTTGCTTGTTTGTTTTGTTCAGTACCCATCACTATGCTTTGCAGACAGTTTCTGTGGGGAAAATGACAAACTCAGATTTCATCACCTCTGCTGATTTACTACTGAGTGACTGACATTGAACGAAATTTCTTTGTCTGTCAGGTGAATGCAGGGTCTGCATGTGCTTCTCTACTGGCTGTTATCAATTAAAATTTGGTTTCATTTTGGAAAAGCTTCAATATAAGCCTCTAATTGCAGGACAGAGGTACTCAACCTTTTTAAGCTGACGCCACTGAACCCTGTGAAGCCATATTACTCTGCAATCAGAATATCCAACTCTGGTGCATAAAGAAACTCCTGCATTCCCTTTTCTCCTTGGAAGGGAATCTGTGTGGCTGTCTCTTGCGCGTTCTCTCTCTCTCTCTCTCTCTCTCTCTCTCTCTCTCTCTGTCTCTCTGTCTCTCTCTCTCTCTCTCTCTCGCACACCCTTTTGTAAGTCCACGATGTCTCCTCCTCCCATTGCATTGTGTGGTGGCTGCCTTTGTTCACATTATCTGTCACCTCTCATATGTGTGTACAAAATGGTTTACTGAGCCCGTGAAGCATGAGAGCGATTCCCTCCTCTCGCGGTTACACATTTCCAGACGTTGCACTGAGTGGCTGAGGGTCATGCACAGCCGGTGGCATTATTTAAATTCCCTTCCTCCACAAGATTATGCTATGGCAACAAAACTCAGTTCTGCTGACTGGAGGTGGGAAAATCGGAAGCCCTAGGATTAAGTCAATTTGTGTTAGAATAACTTAATTAGCAGCAAGCTGTACACATGCATAGTAGATAGTAGGAGTTAGGCAGTAGTGGGAAAAGGAGGGCAAGGACAATCCTTTATTGTTTGTAGTTACAGAACCTTCCCTATAATTTGACAGCTCTTTCACTTTCTCTTGACACTGTCAACAACTCTGTTTTAAATATGGTATGAGAATATGATACACTGTCTTCTTGATACTAACCCTCTTTAAGATGACCTCATAATGCAGCATCTGAATTTTCTTTGGATTGCATTATAAACCAGAAAGCAAGTCCCCTAAAAACAAAACAAAACAAAAATCCTAAGCACTGTGGAATAAGATTGGCAATTAAGAGCTGTACTGGAAGGGGATTTTTAGAGGTCTTACAGTGCCTTGTTTTGTACGTAGTAAGGCTGGCGTAAACAAAGAATGATGTACGTACAAAGGAAATTGCTCAGTAATCTATGAAGCTGATATGCTAATAAGCAGTTTTATTCCAGCACTGACCCTGACCACTGCTGTGCCAATAAAGTCAGACAAATAATAAGCTGAAGCATTAAACCTGTCTTGACAGTAAATGGCAGTTTGTACAGAGAGGGAAAAAACCCACAGCTTTTCATTTTGGCATCATTAACAAAGCAAACTGCTTCCAGTGCCATGGAAGACGGTAGGGTTTTTTTAAGCTAGTTCCCAATAATAATGCTTCCCCTTCTCTCCACGTGAGAAAAGTGTTGCCTATTTTTCGTATAGCCGAATGTTTTGTGTCTGTTTTAGTTAAAGACTATGGCTGTTTCCCGCAAACCTGATAAAATGAAACTAATCTTGACAGCAGAGATCTCTAAAATGGAAACAGTCTGTATCCTACTTTCAGCAGGCTCCTGTGGAGACCCCTTCAATGCTGTAGATCATTCTCCAGCTGCACAGCTTCCTGTATTTTTTATAAAAGTCAATGTTATTTCAAGGAAAAATGAGATGTTCAGTGTTTTTCCTTTCCCTCTCCCCAGTTTGGTATGGTTCTTTACCATAGTTCTGTGGGTTGGTGGGTTTTTTGGAACTACAGGCACCAGACAAAAATGTCCTTGTTTTCAGCTTACACACAGCAGTATGTTTAAAAATATCTCTTCACCTGAGCAGCTGAATCTATTTCCTCTTTCCAAGGAGAGGTTGTCAGGTAATTGTAAGGAGAGCCAGGTTCTCAGGAAAGCGGGAAAGTAAATCGCAAGCAAGAAGCATAAACTTGTTCCAGAGGAATATTTTACAGTTTAATTTGGCCATCGCTGTGTGAAGAGAAGAATGATTCCTGGGAACAGTTTTGTGATTGTCAACCTTTTCCCTTCCATATTGTCAATCAAATTATCATAGCCGAGGTTAGAGGCATAATTAAAAAAAAAAGACAGAAGAAGAGAAAAGCATTAACCTCTTCTTAACCCAAAATGGCACAGGCAGCTGCCAAAGGTTTTCTAAGGAGATTTGCAACTGATTTCAGAATATGTAAAAACATCTGCACACTAGACCATAGCATCTAGTCTAATTCTGATAGAGCAGATATTATGTGGAGCTCATCTCATTTGTTCAAATAATCACTTTAGGGAAAGAATCTTTGCAAGTTTTGTAGAATTTCTCTTTCTCTCTCTCTTTCTCTCTTTTTTTTTTAATCCTTTATGGGGCAGAAGAGGGTTTGCATATGGAAGTGTTTAACTAGAAAAAGCAGGCAATGCTGTCAGTATTGTTCCCAGATAAAAATTGTGGTCTTTTTTGAATGGATTGTGGATAATCTTGTGATAGGTAGCTCTCTTCCTAGAAAATGAACTGCTTCATTTGACTTTGCCTTTGTTTCGCTTCCCTTTGTTTACAGGGACCATATTTATACTGTTGATATGGACACATCACATACAGAAGAAATTTATTTTAGCAAAGTAAGTAGCTTTTATCATGATCCAGAAACCAAGGACACTAGAACAAGCTTCAAATAAATAGGAAGATGACATTGTTTCAAACAACTTGCCAGCGCTACTGTAAAAACTGTAATAATAAAGTAAGATGGCATTGCTAATCATATTTGGGGAAAGCTAGAATAGCAGTCATGTCCTCTGTGAGTTTCTGATAAGTGATTTAGCTGGGCTGATAAGAAATCCATACTGAAATGCAGTGAGGTCCCTGCTGGAACATCCATCAAACATTTATTCATTTATATTCTGCAGCTTTCTAAAACTGCTGTGCTATCCCAATTAAGTACACTCAAACTTTTGTCATAAAAAGCAAATGCTATTTACACATTTTCATGCACACAAATTGTATTCACTGATGCAAGCACTCACTAAATAAAATCTTATTTTAGCATCACCTTGCAGATTCCCATTATCTCCATGGGAAGTTATGTCCAAACTAAGAAGAGCTTTGTCTGCATGACCACATTGTACATTAACATATATCTACTAGAAGTAGCCTCCCTTCAGCTCCTTTGCGTGGCGTGTATGTTGTGTAATATGTGGCAAATGCAATCTTGAATCACTGGAAGGTCATACAAATTTGGCCACTGGATGGATTGCACCAGAGGAGGAAAAAAGTATGTTGTTTTATAGCTATCAGTGATGCTAAAGATTAGTTTATGCCTTGTTACTTTCCAGAAAAGTGAGGTCAAAGGCTCGTAATGGGAAGAACATTCACAATAAATGTTTAAGCTAAGAGTCTTTAGTGAATACATATTGCCTCAGTTTACTCTCAGTTTACGCTATCCAAGTAATGTCCAAAATCATGGTTATAATGTCAAAGGTGTTATTATAATAGACCACAGGTTTTTAAAATAAGCTTTACTATAATTAACCAGCCTGTGGCATTGGACCACTTCATATCACTTTCCATTCATGACTCCATAAAAGGGCTGTATAGAGAATACAGCAGATCCTCAGACCACAGGCTGGGACTCACCTGTAAATGTTCCAGGGGAACAATGTTTACAGGTAAAATCAAGAGTATTTTGGTAGGTAGAGGGCTCTCTGAACCTGTTAGCTGACTTGAAGTGATAAGAATTACCTGAATTTGTTTCTTTGCACATCTAAAATATCCGCTACCAGAATACGTGTTCCAGTAGCATAATGACGGAGTTTGTAGAAGAAAATACTTATTCTGACTTGCAAAAAAATAAAATAGAATCTAGCACTTTTAAGAAATGTGCATATATTTTTAGAAATTGGCTTATTGCTAAATTCAGTTGTTTGTAGACTTCTAAAAACGGGATCCTTTTCTAGTTTAATGTATATGAAGCAACAAAAAATTAAGTGAATGTTTTGCATCACTGATTTTTTTTTGTAGTGGTGAATTAATCATGGAGAAGGGGTGCAGAAAGCTTTCAATAAATATATGTTCAGGTGTTAGTCTACCCTGGGGACTTTTACTTTTGAAATCAAATGCAACGATTTCTGGGCTCTAATTGATTTCTTTCTTGATCTTTGCAGAAATTGACATGGAAATCTAGACAAGCTGATGTAGACACATGCAGAATGAAGGGAAAACATAAGGTTGGCAATTTTCATTTCTCCTGCACCTGCCACTTTGGTTTAGTTGCTTGACTATTATCTCTGGCCGCTGTCTGTGATGTGGAATGGATCAGGCCATTCGCTTCTTTGCTAGTAATTGCTTTTTCCATCAACTTATTGAAGGCTTTAATTTGCAAAAATAGTTTGCTTTCATGTGATAAAACGTTATGACAGGAACTGCAGTAACATCCAGAAAAACTGAGAGCTCAGGGAGTTTTGAATATAATGCTAGGTGTACTGAATTTGCTTAACACTGCCTCAGCAGCTAAGTGCTGCAGTCCATCCTTCCCTAGGAACTGACAAAGAAGTTTGTATAAAGCATCAGAAAGCGTGAGTGTTTACAAGTGTAGAAAGACTGAATTTATTCATACACCTGTTTTCCCCTACTGTAAATTATGACTAACAAAAGAGGGATCAAAACTGAGGGAAAACACTTTCTACCTCCTTTGTACCTTCCTACTCCCCCTTCTAGTTATTATCAATGCATTGCTTTAACTTAATTTCATTTGAAAGCTTTTGCTTTCCTTAAAAGCAGAGACATGATATTCTTCTCACTTATGTTGTTGTAAAATACTATCACCAGTTATTTTATGTGAACAACAGCAAATCTGACCTATAATATGAATATCATATCCTCAATCTTTTGCAACCATACCTGTGGAATGGAAGTTGTGTCTTCTTCACTGTCAATTAAAACACAGTTGAAATAAAGCCCAGAACATCAGAGTGGCTAATTCCAGTTTAGACCTGATGATGAAAGATTGTAGCATAAAAATAATGGCAGACATGCTAAATTCAATAGCTGAAATATTTTTATAATTATTTTTCTTCAGGATGAGTGTCATAATTTTATTAAGGTTCTCCTAAAAAGAAATGAGGATACATTGTTTATTTGTGGAACAAATGCCTTCAACCCTTCCTGCAGGAACTACAAGGTATGTAATCTGTCTGTGGGATTTCATTTATGTCTTTTCTTTCTTTTGGATTTATTGTAACTATGCTGGCAAACAGTATGAGGTATGTCATTCAACGGTGCATCATTCAAATCTGTAGCATTCAAAGTAGTTTCTGTCAATGCTACAAAACTCAGTGATGATTGGATTTCTGAGGATTGTCAGATTGATAACCTCCTTCTCTGCACATCCTCCAAACTGAAGTTTATTGTCATTTTGCATTGCCCTTCATAGCTGCAAAGATCCTCTGTTCCATAGATGGAGGTGAGGTCATTCCTCAGAGTGTCCCTAAGTTTGTCATTGACATGCCTATGTCATTAATACATAGGCTGATGCTGGGGATTATTACTGGCATAATGTATTTTAAATGTCTCTATAGTATTGTTCTCAATTGCAAAGCCATTTCAGAAGATGTTTAAGGACTTTGCACAGTAAAGCACAAAACAATTAGTGTTTGGGACCCAGCAGAGAGGGAACCTGTAAAGATCCTATGGTATGGCACAGCAGATCTCTTTAGGGAAAGGCAAAGAGGGAGAGAGAAGTGGGACTCCACTACACAAAACATTATCTACAGCATTGTAGAAAACTATGCTGGTCCTTGAATACTGGCCATTAATTCACAGACACTGACTTCTTCCTTAGATCTAGTGTATGCACTGCATCTTATTTTCCCACTTATTTTCCATTTTCTCAGACTTTTACCCATATAATCTGACAAACCCTTCATCAATGGATTTTTTTAAAGTAGCTTTGAAATGAAATGAGTTAGGCCATCAGTATCCAAGCTCTGTTTTTTCAGATTCTGCTGTGTCGCAAAGGTCATTTCTTATCTTCTTCAGGTAAAAGAAAATTCATGCTACTTCTAATGAAGTCATAGCACATTTATATTGACTCAGAAGTGTCAGAGTTATCAGAAGAAAAACAGCATAGAGTTGTTAACATCCAGAAAACCAGCTTCCTTAGTGGTATTCTTGTGTCTGTTGTTTTTCCTTCCTTTCTCTGCCTTGCTGGTTTACCTCATTTACCCACTGCAAGAGGTGTAAAGAATCACATTAGAGAAATTAGAGAAGCTAAAGGGAGTGTTTTCATTCAGTCTGTGAAAGAAAAATTTTATTCAAGTGTAAGCCTGCATTGTGGTAATGGGTTGATGCACATACCTGGTGTAAAGCAGCAAGAACACAATAGATGTTCTGTTAATAGGCATTTCTTTTTCCTTTCTTGACATCCTGCTTCTGGCATGCAGCTGGCCTTTCTGTTCCCAGCACTGTATTTAGTGTGCTACCACTGCCTGTCATTGCTTAACGCTCAGAACAACAGTGCAGCTAACCAATTTCAACCAATCCTCTTGCTAGAAAGCTGTCTTTTAATACAAAGAGTTTTCCGTGGAGTCCTAATGTGAGGGATATAAATGGTGTTCCATTCCCTTCCTGCAGATGTTTCATTCCCTGTGATATATGGCCTGTGCAGACTGCCTCACCTGTTGCTGATCTGCCAGGGCTGGATAGCAATACCTCTGGGAGTCTGCTGAAGGGCACGCAGACACCCGCCCTGACTTGGCCTCTTCATATTTCCAGCAGTCGAGACAGGGCACTAAAGAGGTGTCAAGCAGAAGATATGGCTGTCCCTCCGCACTGTGAAGTGAAAGTGCAGATGAGCCTGGCATGTCAGGCTCAGCACAGGGACCCTTGCTCGGGACTTGTTTCCTTTCAGCACCATTTGAAATGCTTTTCCATTCTGGCGTATACACAGCTAGCGTAATTCTCTTCTATGAGTCTTGACAGAAAAGTTGCATGACAGAAAAAAATGATGACCAATTATCCACTGAGTTACTTGGATCCCATAACTTAGGAGCTAAAAGTTGATTGGAAAAGCTGATGGTGATTGATGGGTTATTTTTCATGCTCTGCAATTTTGTACTGCGAATGATTTATACAGTATAAACTGTTCAAGTTACTTGAATATGCTAGGAATATTTTTACCCCTCAAGTGCTGTAATAGCAGAATCTTAGGCAGGTAAGAGCTGTACTTTTCCCCTGTAGCTCAATAAATCCTCTTGAACTTTGCGTAAAGTTGATCTGTATATTTGTATAATTATTACTACCTAGGGTGAATTCATTTCCCAGGAGTTACACTTAAGCCTCAGATTTTGCAGTTTCTTCACAGATTAATTCTTGCCTGATGGTAAGAGGATTTCTCCATGACACAGACTCCACTGATACAGTTAGACTTGGAGAGGATCCTCCTAAGTGCGCAAATCAGGAAAGAGAGCACCACTGTTGTGACCAGAACAGAAGGATCTCCGGACTCGAGGGAGAAAAACGCACATACGGATAATTGTCCTAGTGTCTTCTCTGACTGTTACGGCTTGCAGGCTTTTATAAGAGTGCTTCTGTTGAATCACTGTTGAAGATAAATTTTGAATCCTTGCCAGAACTGCAGACCACAAGGCCTGCTGCAGTTCAGCGGGAAGCCAGCATACAGATAAAATACCAGACTTTTGTAAAATGTGTTGGGATTACCTCTAAAGGCATGACTGACTTATAGGAGATGATTTTCCAGAGTGGTTTTATTTAATGATGTCGTTTTTGCTGGATGTTTCATTCACAGTTAGAAATATAGTTAACAATACAGAAACAAACTTTTTTCCTGTCCAGAAAGCAACAAACATTACCATAAGTCACACGCCATGTAATAAGTTCTCTTTCTTCATCTGAAGGGCTCCCTTTTGTTTTTCAGATGGATTCGCTGGAGTTTCTGGGAGATGAATTCAGTGGGATGGCCAGGTGTCCCTATGATGCAAAACATGCTAATGTTGCATTGTTTGCAGGTAAAGGAGACCATGATAATCTTTTGGCTTTCTGTCCTTCAGCCCAGGCTTGCTGTAGCAGCATCACTCTTGAATGCAGAATGCCAAAATCTAAAAGGTGGCAAGGACAGTGGATAATGACTAAAAATAGGGTCCATAAGGAAATCATTAGCACAGGAAACCTTGCCTTCGCTGGGATTAACTTCACTACCATAAACAACATTGCCTAAAGCCTCCATTTCCTGATTCAATATTTCAGTATTTCCTGGATCCATGATAATATAATGTGAGATCAGTGTGAGGCCTGATTTCTGGCATCCTGCTTCTACTAAGTCAAGGACAAGGCTTGTGTGAACTTTAAGGGGGAGAGGGGCAGGATATGCTCCTTCAACATCTCCTAACCAAGTTAACAAAAGGAAATTGGAGATTGTGCTGTGATGTCCCCTTTTCTAGATCCAGAAGGAAAGGGAAGGTGCATTTATTTTGAAGCAGAAAATATCTTGACATTCTATCACCAGCTTGTTTGGTTGACAAACAAGAAAGATCTTTTGGTTAAGTAATGATTTGTGCTGCATGCAGTAAAACACAGCTAAATCTTATTTAACTACTACAGTAGTTTGAAAAGTGAGTCATTATTAATAGGGATAATTTGGCTGTGATTGTGAAATCATATTTTAGTACCTCTCTTCATAGATTTATGATTAAATGGTTTCTTTTTTCAACTTCTTTTACTATGAAAATGTTGATCTTTTCTTAAACTTGGCTTTATAAAGCATAAAACAAAGCCATCTATAATAATGTCACTCCTTTTTAGTAGATGTCACTAGAAAACGACGTGTAACTTATATGAAAATATTTTAGGAGTTCCTCTGAAAGTTTAAAAATTTATGTGTATCACAGCCACTTCCACTGAAAATCATGTTTGTGTCTGCATTAACCACTACAATGTTAATGCTGGCATGACTTGCCTTAACACAGAGAGATTTTATAGCAGGATGCAAAAAAATTGTTTTATTATTGTTTATGTAGCAGAAATCATTACGTCCATTTGTTTCAAATATAACAGTGATGACGGTGACAATATGTAATTTCTTAATTAAAATCAAAAGAAGGTAAAGTAGAAATTCTGTGTTTGTAGCAGATAATTCATAGACCACAGAAATAGATAGACATATTCAGAGAATGATTCATGCCATATGTCTCAGATTTCTATCTTAGGGTGGTCTGAATCACCTTTTGGAAGTGCCTTTCTCTTCACACTGGCCGAACCAGGAGTTTATGACCAATATAGTCTAAACATTTACCTAACATGCAGCTAAAGTTAGGTGGGCTGAATGCTGCTCTATCACTGAAGAAGTCCTCTTCATTTTTGAAAATATTTATAGAAATTATCATACCCTGTTTTAGGATAATTCAAAATATTTTTTGAGTCTGATTAAATATATTCATACAGAATATGTTCAGTAAATCTAGTAGCTTAAGAAAATCACTATTTGATATGCTCTACTTACTGATTCCCATGATAACTTTTCACAGGATGAAAAGCACTTTCATAACAGTTTAGGGCACTAATCCATCTCACCGTAGTCTTTTGGGTGCACTTACATGAATATAGTTCTTTCAGCCAATGGCTCTTATGACTGATATGTGCAAGTTGTAATTGGTCACATGGTCCTCAGGAATTTGGCAGGAAAGAAAATGCATGTATGCTTATATTAATGTGAGATCAGACATCTTTATCTAAATAATCCAGCTTTTTATTCATTTTAAATTGTTTTTAATATCTTATTTGTTTTTCTTTTCTGCTTCTGCTAAGAAAGCAATCCTATTTTAAAATAGCTAAGTAATTATAAGGATTGTGGGATTCAAAGGAAAAACTGCAGTCCTGCTAATAAAAAAAACCTCTTATTTTTAAACCTTGAATGAAAGTTGTCTACAGTTGCAATAAAGTGTACTCTCACTAGAATGGCCTTCAAGGCCTAATAAACAGCATAATCTATGTCAAACTAGATGTGAGTCATTCTAAATTTTCTGTAGACACAACTGAGATACATATTACTACTCTTGTGTTGTGATGTTTATGCTCTCAGCAGACATCATGGTTACAAGATATATATCATAAGGTGAAATAGCCCATGTACTGAAACCCACTAACATGTCTGATAACAAATAATGTCTTAAACTGTTGTCAGAGCTCACACCTTCACCTTGAGATTCTTTTGCAACTTTTTGTTGTCTTTGGGGTGCCATTTTGTAGAATAGAATAGTTTTTCTTCCTTTCTTAATGATTGTTAAAAGAAAAGGATGAATAATTCACGTGGCATATATCTAAAATGCTTTTTTTAAAAAAAAAAAGAAAAATATATGGAAAATCTCTTCCATATATTGGAAATGCCATCTCTTTGCATCCCTGTTTTGCCTATACTTCCTGATACTCTTTAATTTTTGGCAGGTAATTTTTGAGAGGAGTTGCACATTAAAGCTCACAGAGGGAGAAATTCGAATATGTTAGCTGAGACTTGTCTCGTTTAATTTCCATGCTATGGCTAACACTTCTCCTTGGGCAGCACTGTATTTGTTTTGCTTAGATCTGTAGGCAACTCTCTGACTTTGAGTCAGGTTAGAGAGTTTATGAGCACTGAACTAGAGGCATTGGCAGAGAAACTGGATGGGGAAGCTTAGTTTGACTTTAAAAGTGTTGTTTCATAGGATTTTTTTCCCCACACCATTCCTGACACTATCCTTTTAAGGTTGGTGACTTTTGTTCTCTGTTCAATCCCATTTACCTAGCTGTTTTTTTTCCCCTTCCTGCTTCAGTGTTTCCAAGGAGATTTCTGATGATTTCATTTGTCCCTGTGCATTTAATTGTTGAGAGAAAGTAATAACATTATTTGTTACTCCTCCATTTTTCCTTCTTCTTTCCTTGCTCCTCAGAGGGAAAGCTGTATTCTGCCACAGTGACCGACTTCCTTGCAATAGATGCTGTCATATACCGAAGCCTTGGAGATAGCCCAACCCTGCGGACAGTGAAACACGACTCAAAATGGTTGAAAGGTAGGCAAGCAAACTGAATGAAACAGAAAAAACAGCATCTCTGATGAGAATCTTGGATTCCTGACAGACCTCTTTTGTCATTTCATTTTGGCAACACTTTTTGGCAGAAAGAGCGAGCTAAATTACATCTTTTACTTACACAGATTTATTTATCTTTTTTCCTCTTCTCCTGACCCCAAGTTACTGTGCTTGACAGAAACTGTGAGCATAGTGGAGCAAAATATAATCCAGCCAGCTTTCCAAGCTGAAATCTGTCAATTTACAACTATTGGATGAAAGAGTTGGAATTTGCAGGGCTTAGTGTTCTTGGTCTGTGCTTGAAACAATTTCCCCCCCAGGACTTTGTCAGGTAACAATTGAAGCTTTGTGAAGTGTAGAGAATTTGTTCTGCAACATTAAGATTCATCAATAAAAATAAAATTATGGGAATTTTCCACAGGACCTTTATTTTATGGTTTTGTGTTACTATACAGCTGCCATTGAATTAGGCAATTTGTGTGCTCTAAATACTTTCATTGTTAAGAGCAGTGATGTTTACTTTCCTATAGATGCTATGAATAGTTAGCATTTGGAGTGACTCTAAACAGTGAGCAAAACCATAGCTGGAAGGCCTGTTCTGTATGCAGGAATGTTTTGCCAGGTGTCAACTTTAGCCATCCCTCGTTGCTTGTTGCTACCGTCAAGTATGGGCAGAACCAATTATATGGCTTGTTATTCCCTCCACATACAGCCATTATGCCATAAAGAGCCCTATTTGTACCTCAGAGGAAAACCATTATATACTTCATCTTTACCTTCTCTTGTCCATTGTGAAGGGGAAATGTGTTAGTGGCAAATACATGCCACTAATCCAGGACAAGAGGGATGTGGAGCTGCTGGAGAGAGTCCAGCGCAGGGCTACCAGGATGATCAGGGGCCTGGAACATCTGCCCTGTGAGCAAAGGCTGAGAGAGCTGGGTCTGTTCAGCCTGGAGAAGAGAAGGCTGAGGGGGGACCTGATCAGTGTCTATAAATACCTCAAGGGAGGCAGTGAGGAGGAGGGGGCGGCCTCTTTTCAGTGGTGGTCAGCGACAGGACTAGAGGAAACGGCCACAAGCTGAGGCACCAAAAGTTCCACAGGAACTTAAGGAAACATTTCTTGAAAGTGAGGGCAACAGAGCGCTGGAGCAGGCTGCCCAGAGAGGTTGTGGAGTCTCCTTCTTTGGAGATCTTCCAAACCCGCTTGGATGCAGCCCTGTGCCCCGTGCTCTAGGTGACTCTGCTGGAGCAGGGGGGTTGGACTAGATGATTGGACTAGATGACCTCTGAGGTCCCTTCCAACCTTAAGCATTCTATGATTCTATGATACTTAATTGCTTTTCACGAGTTCTTTGTAGATTTGCTCCCGGGCATTCCAGACATTGATTCCTCAGTGGTGGCCTGCCCTGAAAACTGAGTGCATGTGCTTAACATGGACACTTACTCTTTAGATGGATCTGTTTTAGATGGATCTTACTCTTTTAGTGTGGATCTGTTTGGCTTCTATCTACACCCTTTGTGTATTTGCACACCATATGACATACCTAGTGCCTAACAGAATATCATCCTTTTTCTAGAACCATACTTTGTCCAAGCAGTGGACTATGGCAACTATATTTACTTCTTCTTCCGAGAAATAGCAGTGGAGTACAACAGCATGGGAAAGGTAAGAGGGAAAACATTGCCCTGAAAGTCTTTGTGATATTCAGGAGGAGAAAAATATGCTGCACTTGAACCAGTGTTGTTAGGAATGACCTTGAAATAAGAATCATAAATCATGATGACAAGGTCATAATTTTGAGAAGATTCCTATCACTCGAGCCAGAAGGTAGGTTGGAGTGAAACACTGCACTGTCTTAAAAGGAAACGAGATGGTTTCTTATGGTAATGATATATATTGAAATCTTTTGTGTCAACCAAGGAAAGCTCAAGGAAAACATACTGAATTCAGTGCAGCAGGTTATTTTTAAACCTAGATTCTATAGCAAAGATATATTTTTCCTTAGGAAATCCTAATTGGAGTGCTGAGTAAACAGAGGCAAAAATTTTGTTCTCTGCCATTTTGCAAAGAATGATTAAACACTTACTGCGTCTTTGTAATTTCACAATAGCTTTCTGAATAAACAGTCAGAAAAACTGACCAAGGCCACAAAGGTGGAGGGCAGGTATAAAAGCCCAACTAGATTTGCATAGTTTTAAGTGCTGAAAATACAAGACTTGGAGCAAGCAGTGTGGGTTGCAGGAACTGTGAATATAAAATGTTCTTTTGTTTGGGGAAACAGAAAGCTAAGCAGTCTGTATGGAAATTAGTTTATATGGATTGAGAACAGATCTCCTGAAGGATTTATGGCTGTGTATTAAATGCCACAGCCTTATCTCTTATAGCACACTCTTCCAACAGCTGAAATTTTCTCTGTTTATTATTTGTCACAGATTAAGGAAACACAGGATTAAATTAAGCACCTTGCTGTGACATTTCAAATGATTTAAGGACAGAATTCCAATAAAGTCTTTCACAAGAAGCAAACATTTCATTTCTTTCTGTTGTTTTTGCCCTGTTTCTTCCAGGTAGTTTTCCCAAGGGTAGCTCAGGTTTGCAAAAATGACATGGGAGGATCTCAGAGAGTGCTGGAAAAACAGTGGACTTCCTTTCTCAAGGCTCGTTTGAACTGTTCAGTTCCTGGCGATTCACACTTTTACTTCAACATACTGCAGGCTGTTACAAATGTTATACGTTTCAATGGCCGGGATGTTGTTTTAGCAACTTTCTCCACTCCGTATAACAGGTAATGGGCACAGTACCCTTTTGCTCTCTGTGTCCTTTATATTTTCCTTTCATTGTAATTTCTTTCTACTTTATTAAATTACAAGCAATGATTGCTCATATAGTGTAATTATTAAGTATCATGCACTTACCAATAGTTGGTGTTTCATTTTAAAATACCTTAGTATTACTTATTTCTTCCATGTCTGGTAATTTAAAACAGCCTTCAACCATTTACTGTGTGGACATGTTCCTTGGATATATTTTTCGTTACTTGGGAATAATTTAGAAAGGACATCAAGAAGTTTAGCAGTATGTGATTTGCAGAGTGTTATTCCAAAGAGAAAATAAGATTATCCATTCTCAAAAGAAAGCATTTTTTTTTATCTTGTTTTCAACAGCACCACCAAAAGCTGTTTTAATACTCTTCTCTCATATCTCATGCATCCCTACTGACTGACATATTTTCTCCTGGAATAACTAAGATAGTAAGGTATCCTGCTGGCTGCAGAAACTGGTCTCCGGAGCATGAAGTAGTATTAGAACTGAACAGAGCTTCATATGGTGTCTGCTTTGCTCATTGGCTGTCATAGAAGACACAGTTTAATTCTTCATATCTGGTCAGCTCGTCTGCTGCCCTTCTGCCTCTCTGGACCTATACCATGACATGCTCACAAAGGCTTTAGTGAGCTAGGAGGGAAGCAGGAATCATGCTAGATAGAAAGTTTCTTCCTTTTCCTGAACACATGAACACATCTTCCTGTTACAGAGCCTACACCCAAGAGTCTTGTCTTGCTTGAATGCAAACTACAGATACTAATAAGAGGGCCCATACTTCAAACACCTATATTTTATTGTTCAGGCCATGTGTTTTCCAAAATCATCCATTCATCTACCAAGAATTTAGTACAGTGTATATTATGTCTTCCCAGAAGTTATTAGAAAAAAGTAACTGTATCTTGTTATTGTTGAATTATTGAATCTCATTGAGAAGCTAAAACAATAGTAACATTCTAATTAGAACATATATTACTGCTTCACAGAGTAACATTTGAGCTGAAACAGATTTTTTTTTTCTGGAATTCATCTGTTTCTGCTGTTAACTTGACACCTCTCATCAAAGCCTGACCTCAGCGATGTCATGCATAGAACTGACTTCAAATGAGAGTAAGCCCAGGCCTGTGCTATATAATCACCATTTTCAAAAATAAAACAAGAGAAGCTGCTTTGGAACAATTACACCACTAATAAGGAATATAATTTGAAATTGAAATGATCTCCTTTTTATGCAAATCAATTTAATAAAAACAATCAAAGAATCATCATCAGAAAACAGGCTATATCATTGAACTTATCTCTGAACTGAGATTGTCTTCCTGCTCTGCTATTAGTTGCTATGGTGTGCCATGAGTAATCCTTTTTCTTAGACTCTGCATTTTAAAATCTAAGTAGTTTCTTTGAAAATCTCTGTTTTTTGGTTTTGGGGTTTTGGAGACCCCTCATTAAGAGAGAAAACTCTGGCATAGACAGATCTGTCTTTCCCTCTTCACTGCAGAAATGCTTACAAAAAATCTCATCTTTGGAAAAAAGAAGTTCCCACTCGCATGACCTGGAAAAGAATCCACAGCGTAACCTGGGATCAGACAGTGTGGGGCTGGTGATAGGTTGTAGCCCAGTGGCTGATCCAACCACATAGTGGATCTATAGATCTAGATCTAGATCTATTAATTAGATTAATTAATCTATTAATTATAAATCTATCTATAGATAGTTTTAATAGATTTATAGATTATTATATCTAAATAGATTTAATAGATAGATTTAGTAGACTTATAGATTTAATCTATAAATTAATAGATATAGATATAGATAGATATAGATCTATAAATTTATAGATCTAAAGTAGATCTATAAATTAATATCCTCAGTATATGGATCTTTTGGGCTCCTCTCACCACATGGTCTCTCCATCACTGTGGAGATGTGAGCTGAGCCAAGCCCTCAGTGCTTTTGGTTTTGTATAGTAAACCCAAGCTTCTAGGATTCTTTTTCAGGCTTAATTCTGCACAGTGCAATATCTCCTAACTGAAGCAGGACTTGCAGAATCTTTCAGGATTAGGTCCTTTGTATCTAAAATCTCTCTCAGTTAGCTATTAATGACACAATATGCTCCCAACCAGCTTGTACATCTGGATACTTTTGACTGCCTCCATTCATAGACTCTTGCTCTGTACAAGACTCTTGTCAGAGCAATTCTTGCTCCTGTTGTCAAGGACAACAGGAAGAGCTTCTACAAATACATCAGCAGTAGGAGGAAGGCTAGGGAAAATGTTAGTCCACTGCAGGATGGGGAGCTGGCTTGGTGATGGAGGATGCAGAGAAGGCAGAGTTACTAAATGCCTTCTTTGCTTCTAATTGCTAAGACCAATTTCAATGAACTACAGAGCCTAGACACAACAGAGATGATCAGGAGAGAGGAAGACTTTCTGCTGGTTGGGGAGGATTGGTTTAGAGATTATTTAAGCAAACTGAAAATAAATCTATGGGCCTGGATGGGCTGCACCCAAGATTGCTGAGGGAACTGGTGGGGGCTCTTAGTCACTCTCCATCATCTTAAAGAGGCCATGGAGAGCTGGGGAGGTGCCAGAGGCCTGAAAGAGACCAACATCACTCCAGTCTTCAAAAAGTTTTGCCATTCAGAGGGACCTGGACAGTCTGGAGAGTTGAGCAGAAAGGAAACTCCTGAGGTTCAATAAGGACAAGTGCAGGGTCCTGCACGTGGGCAGGAATAACCCCAGGCACCAGGACAGATTAGGGGTCGACCTGCTGGAGAGCAGCTCCACGGACAGACACCTAGGAGTCCTGGTTGACACCAAGTTACCCATGAGGCAGCAGTGCCCTCGTGGCCAAGAAGGCCAATGGGATCCTGGCTGCATCAGGAGGATGTTGGCAGCAGGTGGMGGGAGGGGATCCTGCCCCTCTGCTCAGCTCTGGGGAGGCCGCACCTGGAGTATTGGGGGCAGTTCTGGGCTCCGCAGGACAAGAGGGATGTGGAGCTTCTACAGAGGGCTCAGGGGAGGGAACAAAGATCATTAAGGGAGTGGAGCATCTACTGCATGAGAAAAGACTGAGTGAGTTGGGCCTGTTTAGCCTAGAGAAGACTGAGAGAAGATCTGATCAATATGCTTGAGTACCTCAAGGGTGAATGTAGGGAGAAAGGGGCCAAGCTCATCTTGGTGGTAGCCAGTAACAGAACAAGGGATAATGGGCACAAGTTGAAACACAGGCAGTTCCAACTCCATGTGAGGAAGAACCCCTTTCCTGTGAGGGTGACAGAGCCCTGGCACAGGCTGCCCAGGGAGGCTGTGGAGTCTCCTTCTCTGGAGATCTTCCAGACCCACCTGGATGCTGCCCTGTGCCCCGTGCTCTGGGTGTCCCTGCTGAAGCAGGGGGGTTGGACTAGATGATCTCTAGAGGTCCCTTCCAACCTCAACCATTCCATGATTTTGTGAATCTATCATGTTATTGTAAAGCTCTGAACTAAGCCTCAGTTCACATAAACCCCTGCCTATGGAAATCCAAACAGAACTATTACTGTCTCTCTGCTTGTTGCTTCATTCAGTATCAGAGTTTTGAAACCTTTTCATATTTATACAATTATTTTCAAATCAATTTTTATCCCCTTTGAGTTTAGTTTTATTCTCTATAATAGCATTATTGTTCTTACTTTTTTTTTTTTTTAATTAAAGGTATAATAACGTGCCAGCTAAAAGCATGACTGAAAGTCTCACCAGCTGGGTTCATACTATTTATTTGATAAAATCAAATGGTGAAAGTCAGAAATAAATACTGTAGTTCATGTTAAAAAAAAAAAAAAAGAGAGAGAGAGAAAGAGGGGGATAAATACATAATTCATGCTTACAAGTGACTGACCGTGGGAAACCCCTAAGCCTTTCAGAAAGTAAGTAGGTAATGATATAATTATGTTTAGACAATGCTGCCGCGTAGTTGCATACAAATAATCAGAAAGTTGAAATTTACACTCTTGCTATCTGAGAACAAAATTGAATTTGCTTCTGTGAGCTCTTTACAGCTCATTGACTTAAGCAAATTCCTGAACATAGTTAACTCCTTTCCATTGAGAAAAGCTGATGGAGATCTGGCTGTGGGAGGATGTGGTAATAATGTGCAAATCCCAGGCTAATGGCACATTGCAGCATGCTCCCTCTTTGATTAGCTCCAGCCTCTGAATTGTCTACCAAATATATTTTTGAGACATGGAAGGGACTGTGAGAATTAATATTGGGAAAATGTGGGTTGCAGGAACTTAAAATTCCAAATAACGTATTTGAAAATAGAGTAACTATTACTCCATGCGTTATTAGTTGTATGCAGATTTTCCCTGATTCTTCCACTTCTTCAAGACTGTTGCAATTGTTTCTCTCTATAGATGCTTTGAAACAATTTTTGCTGGCAGGAACTGTCTGCTGATTGGTACTTTTCACTTTTTTTTCTATGGAACTGGCTTTTCCTGTCAATACTCAGAGGTTACAAAGTTCAGGATTGAGTAGCCTGTGACAGGAAGACTTCATACAGCTTGTTTTTCACTCAGGATTTTATGCATAACTGCTGAGTGAGTAACAATTTCTGGAAAATGTCATTTCGCAGCATCCCTGGCTCTGCAGTCTGTGCCTATGACATGCTTGACATTGCCAATGTATTTACTGGGAGATTCAAAGAACAAAAGTCGCCAGATTCCACATGGACACCAGTCCCCGATGAACGCGTGCCCAAGCCCAGGTATGTTGTGTAATCACTTTTGTGACAGATTGCACTGTTGCTGCACAAAGCACATGATTTTTGACAATTTGAAAGCCTTGTAAAGTGCAGAAGCAATTGAAAATATATATTGTATCATTGAAATAGGAATTGAGCTACCTTTTGATTTAAGGTATATTGGGGCAACTGAGAACTTTTTTCATTCAAGCCAGGCTCTCTGTAATGTAAATTAGGTCAGGATCAACTTGGTCAAAACAATTCGTAACTTAAGAGTTGTATGAGTTACACCCCTATTGCAAATTGGTTGGCAATGGATGTATTTAGTAGCAGTCTGCTGCACCAGTTTGCTCTTCTGGAATTCTGGATTAGGTGCTTCTATAAGCACCTATTTCATGCAAGTTACTACTACAAGTTGTTTACATACAGTTTATACTCACAGACAGATTTTGTTCTGAGGATGTGATATAAATGTAGAGAGAGCACATTCATTTGTTTCAGTCAAGCTCTTCACTTTAATACAGGATTTACATTGCTTCTGATATCCCAAGGACCTATCCAACCTATCTAAAGCTCTGAGATGGCAACTGGGCTTCTGCCTAAGACCCAGTTAGGCCCACAGCATTTTAGGAAGTTGCTGAGTCTAGTATTCCCCTGATGTCTTCATGCTGAGATTATCAGTCATGAGAAAAACCTTGAAGTGACTGGAAAATATTTTGAATTCTGTGTCTGTTTTCAGCCTGAACCTTAGTAATACATCCAGTAGCATTATTCGTGGATTTTTTCTGCATTTTGTGGTGCTCCAGCAATTCACTGACATGATAGGCTGCCTTGGTAATGCAAGGCTGAACACAAAGACTCAAAGGCCATTCTTTTGACACTCATGTAGAGGATTTTGCAGGGAAGTGGGGAAACTGAATTCATAAGAGATGGAGGCCCAATATGCCTTTGAAAACAGGATATTTTTTGTTTGGGTATCTCAATTTCAGGCAAATATATTAGTGTTTCTATCAATAGCCTTTCTCAGAATCATACTGGAGTCTTTTCTCCAGTTTTCTCCAATTTTCTCCTTTTATTTTTTTTTTCCTGAGACAGCAAGGTTTACTTAATTTAGTGTTAACTCGATTAAACCAGCAGTGAGATTAAAACAGGGTTAATCCAGTAATGTGATTAGGATTTAGAAAGAAATAGGATCAGATTTACAGAAACCTCAGGAACCACGGTAGCAGAAGTCATAGTCTACTCCCTAGAATTCTCTTGGAATTTCACCTAATGAATCAGTGTCCTTGGAAGGACCTAGGAGATTGGTGATACCTTTATTTTCTCCTCTCCCTTTATGGCTCATTGCAAATGCAATTACAAGATTATCAAAATATTTTTGTAGACAATCTCTGCATGTAATGTCCATTGCATCATTGTGCAAAACCAAACTCACTGGCCCAATTAGTCCCCTATGTTATCCTGTGTAATTTTCCTATTTAGTAACCTAACATTTGAATATCTAAATTCGAGACATAGACATGACAGGACTAGCATTATTGTTCAGGGGGCATTACTTTCTTGTTGTCAGTGGCTCTATCCACTTAAGACTGGGTGAAGACTGAACTCTGCAGCACATTTATGAGTGGATAGTCAGTCTTTTCTCCTTCCATGATCTAATGGCACAAAACGTAGAGAACTGTACTGAGCTGGGAAAGGGAGAAAATTAACCTTCTGTTGGAAAAAAATAATCCATAAAATGATAATGACAGACAAAGAGCTTTGCTATTCCCTGTTTGGAGATGACCTATTCATGCAGGAAATTAAGTTATCTAAGAGGAGCAGGGCAATTTTTAGGAACACAGTGTAAAAGTTTGTGTTGAAATTGGCCAAGAACAATCAGATAACATCTCGGTGAGAGCCTTGTATGTGCTACAGGACTGAAGTTCTCCCATTCAAATGGGAAGGAGGTGCAAACAGTATTTGTGTGAGTGCCTGGTGGATTGTGTTTCCCAATAGTCGTCTTTCCACCAGACAGTACTGGAATTGATGTTGCTTCATGCCTGAAAGAAAAAAGGAAGGAAGGAAGGAAGGAAGGAAGGAAGGAAGGAAGGAAGGAAGGAAGGAAGGAAGGAAGGAAGGAAGGAGGGAGGGAGGGAAGGAGGGAGGGAGGGAGGGAAGGTCTATTTTCCCTTTATATTAGGGAGACTGCTTTTATTCCAGGAGGCATCTTAAAAAATATTAGCAAATATTTGTACAATAACTATATCCGGTCAAATATGTATATGCAGTGACTAGATTCCAGATAAGTAGATGAACTATGAACTCAGGGTCAAGTTTCTGCTAAAGAAACTTCTGCTAAAGAAATATCTGTGTACTCTTAGGTGGCAACACATGGAAGTACTTCAGACTGGAGGACAGAGCATGATTTTAGGTTCCCCTGAGGGGCTGACCAAGTCCAACAGATTCCTCAATCATTCATTTAAGGCTTCTAATGCACTTCAGATTTCACTGCAGGGCCTGGTCACAGGTCTTATGAAAGGGAAACTTACACTTAAACACGAAATAAGTGTTCTGGCTTCCTCTCCTTGTTTTATTTAGACCAGGTTGCTGTGCTGGCTCTACATCATTAGAAAAGTACGTAACCTCTAATGAGTTCCCGGATGATACTCTGAACTTCATCAAAACGCATCCACTGATGGATGAGGCCGTACCTTCTATTGTCAACCGACCTTGGTTCCTGAGGACAATGGTCAGGTAAATGCCTCTGGATGGACTCTTCTCCTCCATCTTAACAGTTTGTCAAGTTGTGCTAATAACCATGGTTAGAATACTGTTAAATTCTGTAAACATCTCTGGTGTACTGGGCCTGAATCCAGCTAGAAAGGATGACAGTGCTGAGTAGATGCCATAGAACTCCCTGAGCAGCTTTCAAGATCTGAAAAAAAGCTCAGTCCTTTCCAACCATGCTGTTCTGAAACCGGATCTTGGAGGAAATACAGAGCAGGGAAGGTTGCCCTGCCTGTTGGCTTATGGGTGAGTGTTTGAGACAGCTCCGTTAGAAAACTTTGGGCAGAGATCAACAGATAGCTCAGGGATGTGTACACAGGATACAAAGATGTCTGCCAGGATATGTTCACAGGATATGAAGATGTCTGTCGGGATATATGCTGGTATGTTTCACTGTTTACACAAGTGTACAAGCAGAAATAATCACATAATCCCTCCCAGTTCTATGGCAACAAGAGAAAAATAATAATGAAGAGATTTGAACAAAGACTCATAAATCAACAACCCTCAAACATGCCATCTCCTTCCTCTGAAAATATATTCCCACTCCTGTATAGTACTGTGGTCACTATGCTTCTTGTCTGCCCTCCAGTTGTGAATGAAATAATGTGATTAACCCTTACCACGTTTTTCTCTCTCCCTCTGTGCAAGGATAGTTTCGTGCTTGATCATGTTTAGCTTTAGGAGGTTATGGCTCAGTTTTAATAATACACATTTTGTTAATTGTTTATGTTAGATAAGCCAAAGAAACTCACTTTGATCTCCGAGCAAAAAGTGGTTACGTTACTCTCAGAGTAATTGATTCTAGGATTTTAAACTAGACAGGCTGCTTCCCACATGTGTAATCTTTAACTTCAAGTAACCTTCTGTCAGAGTCATCACATGGGAGCAGATAGGCTGAGACTGGGGCACCTTAAGGCAAAAGACAATTTAAACTTGGCTTTGTACTCTATGGACAGCTGATACAAAATGGAAAGGTGAGATGTTGTGAGAGTGTAGTAAGCCATGCTGCTGAGAATGTGTGCTATGTTGTAAGGGGAGTTTCAAAGAGTTGGTGTTTTCTGGCTCTTGCTGTATTCTAGGTCTTGCTATATTCTAGGTATTTGCCTATAACCAAAGGAGAGGGCACCAAGCTTTGCAGAGTGCTTTCCTTTAATCCTCAGTACCAGATTACCAGTACTTGTTTTTAATTAGTTGAGTGATCCCAAGATCTGGTATCATCTATCTCATGACTGAACACACTCAATTGCTGTGGTGTGATTATTTTTCATCCATCATGGCATTTAGCGCCTCAGTATTACACTGGTACATCTTTCCCTGCCAAATAATTGACTATGGGTCTGTTATCACTGTTGCTGTTTTTAATGTAACAGAGCTCGATATTAAAAAAATCACTGTGCTGATTTTCTTTTCCTGCTCATAGAAGTCATCAGACTAGCACTTTGTTTTTGATTAGAAGAATAATTAGTGAGTGGTTTCATATTCTTAGAATTCTTTCAGCATTCTGCTTTAGGTGTGCTATTACAAACACTTCTGCCGGTATCTGACATACAGATGTGCACACACATGAAAATTCCCCACTATTTGGGAAGCCCAAGTGATACAGTCTGCATTGAGTTACAGGGTTATCCAGTCAAGGAAAAAAAAAACTATTCAAATATATAGTATAGTTGCTAGAAGGCTACCGCAAAGTTATTTGAAATGGAAAAATGTGATATAATAATAAAAGAAAACCCTAACCCAAATGATAAAAAAGCTGTATTGTTGTTCTAGGTACCGCCTGACCAAAATTGCTGTAGACTCTGCCGCTGGGCCGTATCAGAACTACACTGTGGTTTTCCTGGGATCAGAGAAGGGAATCATCTTGAAGTTCTTGGCCCGGACAGGAAACAGTGGATTCCTAAATGATAGCCTTTTCCTGGAGGAGATGAACGTTTACAATCCTGAAAAGTGTGTATCTGATTCTTTGTACTTCTATATGGATGGCTTTGACTCTTCTGCCTTCCCAGGGAGCAGGTTTCACCATGAAAACAGAAATGGCTACAGAAGCCAATTTTTTTTGAGCTATTTTAAATATGAGTTTTTGGGGGAATGTCTGGTTGTGAGTCTCTGCATGATTTTTTTTTTTTTGATATGTATAAAAAGTAGATCACCTATGGAGCAGTTGATGGATAATTAAAAGTGAAATTCAGCAAAAAAAAGATTATTTTCCTAATCCTATAAAAAAAACTCATTCTTCTCCATGCAGCTCACTAACCAGCAAGCTACTCTGCCAGGGAAATTTCCTGGATTTCAGCATTCTTCAGATATGCTTAGGGAGGTTTTGAAGTATGCCATAAAACAGGGAGGCATTTCAGCTACTTAAAGTGCTGGAGAAGCAAAAACACAAAAACTGAAGAGTCCTCAGAGAGCTTGTCTGGTGTGCAGCCCTCTCTCTACTATTTCTCATTCCCCTTTCCCATGCATTTTTAACACTAACTTAAATATCTTTTATCAGTATATCTAAATTCCCACTCTGTATTCTTAAGGTTTGATTGATTCTTCTCAGTTTTTATTTGTTTGTTTCTTCGCGAAGTTGTCGTTGTCACCTGGCTTCCTAGCAGAACTGATTTATAACCTTATCTCACTTGTCAAACCAGGTGCAGTTATGATGGAGTGGAAGACAAGCGGATTATGGGCATGCAGCTTGACAAGCAGAGCAGCGCCCTTTATGTTGCCTTCTCTACCTGTGTCATAAAGGTTCCCCTGGGACGTTGTGAGCGTCATGGCAAATGCAAAAAGTATGTGTGTCGTGGCAGCATGTGCCCGGTGGTCAGGAGCCGTGGTGCCAGGTGTCAGAGCCCAGAGCTCAAGAATGCCTCCTTGTCTCCTTCTTTCCCAAGGGCCTGCATAGCGTCCAGAGACCCGTACTGCGGCTGGGTGAAGGACAGTGGGGCATGCACGCAGCTGGTGCTCGGGGCGAAGTAAGTGACAGCTTTCAAGGGGTGCACAGTGAGATGTTGACAGTGGCGCCAGGCAGATTTGGATGGAGTTGTTTGAGACATTGGCTCTTAGGGAAGAAAAATGTGTGAAGTGTTTGTTTCTGCCTCACTTGCATTCTCTGAAATTTCTTGGCGTTTTTTTCATGCTAACTCTCAGCTGATTGGTAACTGTTGAAAGAGGAGGAAGAAGAAAATGAAAGAACCATACTAAGGGCCACGCGTTGTTGAAAGGAGGGAACTGGATAAGTATGTCTGGACCATCCCACACTGGAGCCATTACAGCTGATTAAAGAGGCAATAGAATCCAAATTAGGTTACTGAAGCAGTTTGTCCCCTGAAAACAAAACCAGTCCTTCTAATTTACAGTGCATTACTAAGAAGAATCACAGAGCACGGTCAGAGCTGAAAGCAGATTCAGAGAAGTGCTGGATCTCCTTTTGCTTAACAGTAGAATTTTTTTTTATAATAATAAAAGGCTGTGAGAGCTTGCTTAAATAAGCCTCCTTTTAGGGAACAAATGTGCTCAGAGTTCTCATTTCTGCACCTCATCTGGCACGCTTCACACTCACCCACTCTGAGGTATGGTTTTATTACCTCAAGATAGTAGTACAGATGTGGTGTAAAACATCAGATAACCTCTATAGCCCTATAGCAGCCAAGCTCAACACACCTTCCATTTTGGTCATCAGTAAACAGGATGGATGATTATTATTCATATATTTGTATCAGATTTGTTATTTTCTATTTTAATTTAGATTTTTTGTTCTTAAAGATCCAATGTGGATGTTATAGCTATATCTACATATGCATTTTTATAATAGTGTTGAGTGACATTATTTACAAAATCATCTGTCAGGAATAAAGTCCCTCTATGTGTTATAACAATTTTGCTCAAAAACTTACCACCCTTTTCAAAGTGCTTTCCCACTTGCCGTAGTAAGATTTTCAGGATTTCTGTACATTATTCACAAAAGGGGCTCCAGTTTTTACCAGCAGATCCTTGAAGGCAGAGGCAGTGCAGTTTGCTGTGGTGCAGTCCACAGGTGAGAGCTAGGCAGGCAGCTCTCAGCCCAGTGCATTGATCTGTTTAGCTGGCTCTTGAGCTTCTAAATTATCCAACAGGAACAGACTTCATGTGCCCTCCTGGAACAGGTGGCATTTAAACAGGAATTCTAAGAAGATTGAGCCTGGAACTAGGTGCCTATGAGAGTATTTAGGCCTGAAGGGCATGATCCTACATAGGATAGATGAGAGCCTGTGCTGGAGCTTTTCCAAGTCCCTTGTCACTCACCACTGACTACACAGAGAACTTGGAAAAACAGTTTCACAAGCTATCAGAATCACAGGCACAGGCTAGGAGCCTAAATTGGCGCTGTAAGCTAGAAAAGCCTGTAAGTATTTATAGATTTAAAGTTCAGTGGAATTCCTTTTGCAGTCTGGGCTTTAGGCATTGCAATTTTGTTCAGCACAGTACCTAAATATCCTTGAGAATGTAGGCTTTGTCATCAGAAGCCAAAGAATAATTAAGAGATAATAAATGCCAATGTTGCATTTTTTTTTCAAGTCGTGTGTAGGAGTTCCAGAGAAATAGGCAGTTTCATTGTGTCTTCATTTCAGTTGTAGATGTGATAATTTCTTTCTGGTAGTGTCTGCAACTGTTGTTATTCATACCGTTATGTTTCTTTCTATTATTTAGACTGGCATTTGAACAGGACATAGAACATGGCAATACAGATGGCCTGGGTGACTGCCAAAGTAAGCAAATCTTTTATCCTCCATTTACCATGTGTTACAGAATCTTTCCAAATGCCTCAAATCACCATTACCTGTTAGGTGCTTTCTCATAGCAATGTAAGCCACAATAGGGACATTAACTCTGTCTAAAGAAGTGAGTTCAAGAGGAACACTATTGAACCATTTTTAATGGAAGTATCCCAGGTGGCATGATTTATACGAACAGTGGACTTTATAATGGTTATATGGTGTGAAAACCTTGGCTTTAGAGGATATTGAATATAGCAATGGCACCGTGAACTGGGTCTTCATTTTCTTTATGAGCCACAGTGAATGGCCTAGGTTGTTTATGTAGACTTGCAGAAGAGGCTTGGTGTCTTGGCAACTTGAACTCTGCTCCCATGCAAGAGAGGGAGATAGTGGGAATATCTTCGTGGTCGGGTATCCAGAACCAAGAAGTGAGAAATATGTAGTTTATGAATCTTATTAGATTTTACACACAAGCTTGGACAAGCTCACACATACCAAAAGAAGCTTAATGATAAAACTTAGATACTAATGACATGAGTGGAACTTACCCTTTACACATTCATGTTTTGCAGTGAGGTACTAAAAGTAGTGTGCTTGCGCTGCATCCAAGCAACTTTGAAGCTGATCTTTGAGCTTTAAAGAAACTAATATTATGTTAACACATATCTCCTTCCAAATGTTCTTGCCAAGTTCTGTTTAATTCGTACCTGCAAATATTATTTGTAAACTTTTTGACACCAAGAATCGCTCTCTTTTTGGTGCGATTAGCACTAGCGCCCGTAGATGCAATTAAAGGGATGAAGCTGAGAAGGTCAAGTATAGTGAGCTGTTACTTTTGGAATGAAGAACAAAATAACAGAGTTTACACAAGGATACTATGCAGGCCAGCTTCTGTGGGGCATTCCTTGTGCATCCTTCATTCAGGAGTTATTTGTTGAGAGTTCAAGGACTTCAACCTTCACATGCCTCCATCTTAGCAACATCTTTTGGCCTATGATAAGATTGGTTGGGCAGTCTCTGTATTATGGATGAGGTAAAAACACAGTCCTTCCTGTGCCACCTGTAATATGGGATAGCAACAAAATTAGTACCAAGCTGGTATAACTTTGGTCTTGTTAGGTACCAGCTTAGTTCTGCTTTTCCTGACCAAACAGGTTAGATAGGAGTAGTGTGTAGGTAATATATATGAAAGAAGAGTAGGAAGTGATTTCAGAAACAGCAAGTTGAGCTCCTGGAGAGAGATCCAGTCCTGTGCAGGTAACAAGAAGTCAAATACCCCGCTTAAACTCCTTTTAAGACCTCAATGATGCATTGAACCTTGGCCTTGAACAGGGATAGATTTCACCCCATGCTAACCTGGATGATCTTATTACTTTTTGTGATTTTGTATCATGTGAATTTTGTCCTCATTGACTCACATTGCTAGATGCATCACTTGATGTGCCTTGTGTTAAATTAGGACTTCATGTGTTAAATTAGAACTTAAGCAAAAGCAGGAAAGATATGTCAGAAAGAAAACTGGTCTTCCAAATTGGTGTCCTTGGCACAAGGATGGTCATGAACACTTTAAGGTCAATCATTGTGTTCAAGTATGTTTGAAAGTTGGTTTTCCCTGGGTCCTTAGTTTCTAATCACATATATAAAAATATCAGCTGAAGTGTAAGAGGTTGCTAGCAGGAAACAATTAAAAAGAAAAAGAGAGAGAAATAATGATTTTTCCCATTATTTGTCTTTCAGATTCCTTCGTAGCCCTGAATGGTAAGGAAGTTCTCTGTTCCATTATTTCTTGTCAGCAAATCAGTTGTGGTGGAATCATTTCTACTAAACTTTGAAGTATTTTCACACGCCTATCCTATTTATTGTTTTTCTGTTCTTTCTTTTGTTGTTCTATTTTTGCTCTATTATTTATTTGTTCTATTTATTGTTTCTTCACAATTTATTTCTCTCACAGACATTTCAACTGCTTCACCTGATCATGAAATGTCTTACAACAGTGTGTATGGTCAGTTTATGGATATTTTAAAAAATTCTCCCCCAGATCCTTGTGTTAGCTAGTAGCTTCTGTCCCTTTTTGATTTTATTTTATTTTGTTTTGTTTCTGAGGGCCTGATTCACTAATCACAAATAGGTTTAAGCTATATCTCTTAATTTTCAATCCCTCTTTTCTTAGTCCTTCCTCACAACTCAATTGAATTAAAGCTGAGTACGGCCAATTTTAACAGCACTCCAGCAAACATGATAAAGAGCATGCTTTGTCTGAACACTCAGGGGAAGACACTTAGATACAGTAATATATCTTATCTGCTCCCTGTAAAAAAAAGAAGATAGCACTTTGGATCCCACTCATGATTTTTCCAGTTTGGTTTCTTGACTGCCACAGCAGCTAATTACGACTACCTCAAGAAAAGGAGCAGAGATGTCCCTGGGTTACAGAAAGGGTTTTCATGAAGATTATTGCACTGTTGTCCATGTTAGTTCTGGCTGGATCCCCAAAGTTTCTCTCATTACTAGGGTAAGGCACTTACATAGACACGTACATAGTATCTTAATGTCCTGATGGTGCCTGGTCTGTGAGAAACAAGGGACTCGCACAGCAAATTAAATGACCAGAGGTGAAGAGGAGCATTCCTGGTAGCCTAGAGTAGTCATCGCTCCAGAAAACTGTTAATCGATATTCACTGTGCAGATTTGTGCCCCTTTGCTTAGTCTATTTGGAGTGGATAGCACTAAAGTTTAAGTAGGCACTTGGAGTGCAGAGGAAGTGTCTACATGGAGAATTACTGCAGAATAAATAATTGCTTTAAATTCAAACTTTGAATTATATTGCAATAACTACCCTTTGTAGACAGCTTGAACAAAGATAGGCACTTACAAGCCAACAGAATGTGTGCGGTTGCTCCCAGTGAAGTCAGTGGCAAATTTCCATGTAAGATGGGAGCTTACTGAGGTTTCTTTGAGGCAGATGAGACTAACAGCTCATCAGAGTTGGGGCAATTTCATGATGTTTGGCTTAACATAACTAGATACAAATTAGTGTGCAATTGTGATGGTGAACATTAGATTGACCCTTTCCTCTTATGCCTGCAAAATATATAACTACAAAACAGATCCAACCCAATAAATCAGAATATAAATAACTGCAGGCAAAGCAATTACTGCTCAGTGCTACAATGAAAATAAATAAAATAAAATAAAATAAAATAAAATAAAGTAAAATAAAATAAAATAAAATAAAATAAAATAAAATAAAATAAAATAAAATAAAATAAAATAAAATAAAATAAANATAAAATAAAATAAAATAAAGTAAAATAAAATAAAATAAAATAAAATAAAATAAAATAAAATAAAATAAAATAAAATAAAATAAAATAAAATAAAATAAAATTCCCTCTTTTTGTTATCAGGAAACAGAAAATGTGCAGATGAAGCTTGTTTGCAAGTTTCATGCCTTTCATGATAATGAAAAGCAGTGAGGACAGTATCAAAGACAAGTTGAGACTTTGTAATGTTTGGAAAGCTGATGCTTTCGTCTGACTATACCACTTGTACTTTCTTTCAGTTGAAAACTGTTATATTTCCAATACACAAAGCCAGTAATTAAAGAATAATAATAATGAAAACCATACTGCTGAGTCTGGAGAAAAATAAAATGGCCGTGGGCATAGTGCTGATGTACTGGAAATGTCTTAGGATTCCCACTTCTAAGTGTGCCTGTAGGCTACACAGTTGTAGCTCTGTGGCTGTGGTTCTGGATCCCATCTGCTATTATAGTAGTAAGGACTCTAGCAAAAGCAAATCTATTCATCTGATCACAGAATCCTAAAATGGCCCAAATGAGAGTCAAAGTGAAAAAAGCTTCAATCCAAAAGGACACAGGTAACTAAAGGAGGCAGTTCTACTGTTTACCTATGCCAAGGCCAAACTCAGATGCCGTTTACTGAATGCAGTTCTTAAAATAGATTCTACTACCAGTTCAATGGAGAAATGCAGAGCATACATTAAGTTTGGTCCCCACTCATGCTCTGTCTTTCACAGGTGAATTCACCAACCTTCCTCAGGTAGACCATGGCATGTGGTCACCAGGCATGAGAGCTCGCTCTTTATGAGTTTAGCTGAAATACCAGTTCTGATGTTACTCATAGCTGGCAGTCAGTCTTTTCACCTTTTTACCAGGCAAAATACATAAGGAAAATGTGCTAGTCACCTCTATTCACTGTCCACAGGAGGAATATAAAATAAAAAATTGAATAGTACTCAGTAAACCAGTGTCAGTAAACATGTTCATGTTTGCTAACTGTTACGACTGCTTTGAGTCTTTCTTTTTTTGCATGAGAAACTTTTTTTTAAAATTATTTTATTGTGTACAAGTAAATGCCTAAGTAAATGGTATTTCATAATGGATTAAACCTCAGAACACGGAGGTATGTCAGCATGCCTGTCAAGTGAATTTTCAGGGTGCCTTCGGATATGGTGGGTTAAATATATCCAAAGGCATTTGAAACTCCAGAAGCAAAAGATGTCTTAAGGCCTAATTCTCCTCTCACTTGATTTGTACTTGTATAAATCAACTTACTTCAATGGTCTTACTGCCAATCAGTAAATATAAGTCAAGACCTTAATCTTCGTATTCTTGGCATTGACCTCCTCCTGAATTTGGCAGATGAGCTGCCTTTTCTGGGGCAACCTCAAATGATCAGTTGTAAACAAGCAACAAAGCACATATTCCACAAATGACTGTTCAGGTACATTCACACCCGAGGAGTAGATAGCATGCTGAAGGTCTGGCTGCAGAAGGTCAAAGAAAAATGACTGCAAGAACCACAAACTTAAATGAAAAGATTAGACTAGATTCTTCTGCAAAATTAGATGCAATTAGATTCCTCTGCAAAATTGTAAGCAGTTTCAATTACACTTGGAAATATCAATTCTTAGTGAATTGGGCCCTATTTTACCCCTTAGCTACATTCTTTTCTCTTTCTGTAGTATTGATTTAGCTTTTTCCTCTAATTGTCTAATTAGGTTGCTATAACTGTTAATAGGATAGTGTGTGGGCATCTTAACCTCTAGTATCCTAATGATTTGTGCATATTAGAGCAACTATCATCTACATAATGAACCCTGTCTTTGTTTTAAAGCAGAAGAAAAATCTCCTTATATTTTACAAGTACACTTCAGAATGAGCTGTAGTTGCAGGAGTGTAGCCCTTCTGAATCATTGTCCATGCTTGTAGACATGAAGTGTTTTTGCTCTCCATATATTACTGTGATTACAGCATTCCAAATGAAAAGTTTTGTGAAAAATTGAAGCACCTAAAATAGTCTTTTTTTGTTTCTTTTATTTGAAATACATGTTTCTTTCACATATTTGCTTTAAATGAACAAGTTTAAAAGGCTCCATATCTTCAGTTCTTTCAGATGAATTGTTTTAAAACAAAGGCAGAATTGTTATTTTAGATGCTTAAGTGAGTTAAAACCTACTGTATGTCAAAATAGAGGTATTGGTGGCATCTCACATACGCTAAAGCCTCCTTGAATTAGAGCAAATACAGCAAAGCTTATTTATGTAGTCAGAGTGGTAAAAATGGTAATGAAAAGCAGGCCCCTGACATTTTGCAAGCACATTGTGAAGGTTTAATAACGTCTGTGAGGGAAAGGCCCAGAACAAGGTTGCCTGCCACTTCTTTTTTTTTCTGCTTGTGAGAGTAGCTTAACTAGCTCATACATCTGTGGTGGCACTCTTCCTAAAGGTGGATTTCACAGTAGGACTGACTATGGAAACACTTACAAGACACAGAAATATTGCTTAAGGGATCGGCCACTGCCCAGTAGTAAGTGTTTGCAGAATATGGCTCTTACACAAGCAAGAAAGGTTATTAAACTCTAATCGGCTCCTGGCCTGCTTCCTCTCTCTAGTAAATCAAATGGAAGAAAGTCTGTCTCAATACATGTGGAAAATTGTTTCTCTATGTGTCCTAAACTAACATGTTAGTAACAGAGCATATAGTCTGATTTCTCGCATTTGTGTGAAACCCTTCCCTACCTAACTTCCATCTGGTACACATTAATATCGTCACAAAGCCTTAGCTTTCCATTACCAAGGAGTTCTCCGTGTATTTGCAGCATATGGTTCAGGAAATCTTTTTACAGAAAATGTGTCCCTAAGGCATATATTTCCTCTAGATTACTGTATTAAGAAATGTTTTTCTTTAACCATACTTATAGTCTTTTCTTAAAATTGCCTCTCAAACACACCTAAATTGAAAGTGTCTGGATAGAGATACGGGCATAAAAAGCATATCAAACACGTGTATAAAATATGACTGCTACTTGGCAAGACTTCGTTCTCTTCTACTTCCTTATCAAACTATGACTAATTGCTTTCTTATGTTGAGTGCACCACTATTTGTAGCCTGACCAAATATCCTACACATTATTGTGCTTGTCGAATGAGGTATTAACTCAGAGCTTGGAACCCTGTGAATGTTGGCAGTACTGTTTAGTCTTCAGGGAAAAGAAGACATGGAAAGCTCATGATTTCCACTTGCTGGCCTGTTTTCTGTCCTGTTGTTTCTCTTACTTCTTGGGGATGCATACAGGAGTTGACAAGCATAAAATGGTATAGCAGTGAAAGCTTCACCATTCCAGTGTATTCTTGCTTCAAGGGAGCACATGCTTTCTCTAGCTGGATGTGTACCAGTCCTATTGGAAACAGGCAGCCCTGTGGAACTGCTGCAGAGCAGGCAGCAAATTTTGGATTGGAATCCATCCGTCTTACTGTTACCAATATATCCAGTCATACTCTGCAGCTTATGGAAACCTTTTAGAAGTGTATAATCTGCTTGGCTTCGCTTTTCTATTTGAGCAGCTTTTTAAAACTTCATCTTCAGGCAGAATATAGCTTCTAATTTAGAGTGTAAATGAAATGTCTGGTGAAAAACCACACTTCCCATCATGAAGGACTGAGATTAATACAGTGCCTTTGTCAGTTTAAACCTTCAGCCTGAGATCCATACTACATTAGTCATGTTAATGATCAGCTGTAACATCTGAAGGCTGGATCCACGGTGAACACACTGTCAATCTGACCAGCTTTTCCTGCAAAATGTAACAAAGTGCAAAATTCAGTCCGGAGGGCTGGTCCAAAGTACAAATTGGAGTACAATCCGCTTGTGCAGCAAATCGGAAAGGCCCCTCAAAAGTAGCAGAGGAGCAAAGGCATCTTCTTTCCTAAGATCATTAAGATTTAGCAGAACTTCCTTAAACCATAGCAGCACCTAGAAGCATAACAGAAGCATCTAGAAACATAATAGAAGCCATAGCTTTTTGGCAACTTCAATGGTAGTTCAAATTTTTAAAGCTTTGAAAGGGCTAGTTAACACAAAGGACCTAAGTGTCTGGAAAATCTTGATATTGTTGGTGGCCAAAACCTAAATTTTTGCTCGCAGGAATGGGGTTTAGCATCCTAGGCACAACAGCTTCCTAGGCACAGCAGAGAATTAAGCTTTTCAGAGCAGCGTTGAGAATGATTAAGATCCAGAAGTCTTCCAAAACAGTCTTTTCTAGGTTTTCTCAAAACCTAGAACCTTTTCTCAAAGGTTTTATTTTTATCCAGTGACTGTTTAACATTAGATAATGAAGCAGACCGCTTCCAGCTCTTTGCTTTCACCATGAGGCTCCAAATTTGGGTTTCTTGTGTTGCTGCTATGAAGCTCCAAATTTGGGCTCCTTTTGTTGCTGCATCTCTGCCACAGAGAGTTGTGGGTTCTTTTTCTGAGCAGCAGTACAGCATAAGGGAAAGATTGGAAAGCCCCCTGCTAGAGGAGCCAGGAGCCTGGTGAGTGGAGTCCTCTCTAAGGGAGGCTCCCATGTAAGGAAAGAAAATGAAGTTGCTAGGTTGTTTGAAAGAAGTGAGGAGCAAAGGAGGGCTTGTACGAGCCTATCAAGCAGTATCTCAAAAGAAGGCGTCATCAACCACTTCATCTTTGAGTGATCTGGTTCTCTTATTTTAAGTCTGAGCACGTTTTGAAAGTCCCTGTTTTGTTGGGTTCTTTCAGGAAAGTAGGTAAAAGGAAATGCAGCTATGCCAGGTCAAATTAAATAGGCTCAGAGCTATGTGAGTCCTGCTGAAAATGACTCATTTTGATGACATGCCAGAAGGGAACTTTCAGAAGCACCTGGAATTTTAGCATCAAAATATTGCAGTGTTGTTGAGGTTTAGGAGTTCCAGATTGCAACTTTAGATCTCCTAGACACCAACTACCTCACACTGTGAGTACTGACATACATCTTGGGATATAGCTATAAAGGACACATTAGTTTACAAACACCTCTCTGTCCAAGCCAAACCACTGCTAATATTGCCTTGTTTCCAGCATGGTATGTTCTGGAAACATGGTGTTTGTTAGGGCATATTTGGTCAGAAGGGATCCTCAGTGTGCTTCTTAAAATCAGCAATGATGATGTCTAGGATATATGTAAAATTTGGTGAAACAGGGCTGTGAGCTTCTCCAGACAAGATGATTGTGCTGACTATACTACCTATGTGCCAAATACAAAGCAGATTAGATTCTAAATATTTCTTCATGAAAAAGGCAAGTGAGTGTTTGAAGGGCTCCAGAATGAATAAAAATACCAAATCTCTGTCTGAAGAGGGCTAGTAGCCAAATGGGATATGAAAGCTGCAGCAGTAGCTGCTGGAGTCATGAGCTCTCAAACAGATTCATGCAGTAAGGTATTGCCTTCACTGTTAATCTGAGCAGAAATCATGTTCTGGTTCTTGCTGGCTGTCCTTATCTCAGAGCTGTTTGACAACATCTGCTTGGACAAGGCCCACAGAGAGTGTGCGCGAGGGTGTGCGCTGACAGGCGCTGTACGTGTGCCATCCAAAGGGCAGTGCCCCAGTGTGAGCACACACGTCCTGGGAAGCGTTTTGTGCCCCTGGGATGGGAGCAGCTGATGACATCATTTTGTAGTTCATCTGGCATTCCCCTTTGCTTTGGGCCTTATTAGCAGTTGTTTCTTTTTAATGCTTAAATTGGGGTGGTTTTTTTTAATTGTCTGGGTTTTTTTTAACTAAACAATTGCCAAACGTTATGGATTTATGCTTCAGCTTCATTCTTTCAGCTGAATTCAGCTGGAAGAGCATTTGTCCCAGATGAGGTATGTACAGACTGCTCTGCACTCTTTCGATTCTGTTGAGTAAAAACACACAGTTTTGAAGTCAGCTGCAGCCAGGGACATGTGCACACCTACTAACAGTGGTTCATCTGGCTGATCTGAAAGGTTTAAACTCTCAACTTCCTTTGGGAAGTGCTCTGAAAGATTCTTAAAACATTGCTCAGTCTAAGACATCCATCCATCACTGAGGAAAAGCAATGCTTACACACTCCCGAGATAGCATGGTAAGTGACTAATGAGACTTGTCTTCCCTAACTGTATTTATAATGTAAACAGGACACTCCAGTTCACTAGTCCCAAGCACCACCACTTCTGACTCTCGCGCCCGACAGGGTTATGATACTAGGGGACGCATGCTGGATTGGAAGGATCCGGTTGGCTCATCTGAAAATACAGATCCATATGTGGCAGTTTCATCCCATAATCATCAAGACAAGAAGGGTAAGGCCTTGGAAATGTCTTCCTGTAATGGAGAGGGAGGGGGGGAGGACTAAGGTGTAACTGCTTCCAGCTTTCTGAGAGAAATGTAGTAAAACTCCTTCACTGTAGTTAAAAACTTATTGAAAAGAAGAAACTAGGTAGCCAATCTCAGATTCAGTCCTAAATCCTCACTGCCTAAGGAAACCACACAAAACAAACAGGAATGTATGCCTTTGCAGGGCATTGTGTACATGGATGGAGAGGAGGGAGACAGTGGGCATTTGATGTTGTTTAAACTTGATCTTCCCCAGTGTTTAACTGTGGAAGATTCATGCCTTTCCATCTTTCTTAAGTATGCACTTCTGCATTGCTTTTTGTCTGAATTCCCAGGACAGCACAACAGATCTTAGCTAATTTCACATTGTTTCTGTCTGACTCAGGACAGGAGTACTCTTACTGACAGACAGAGGTACCACAGTGCATAGCTCTGCTCTGGTGTAACAGCTCAGTGGAGCTGAAATAACACAGGTGCTAGAAACTGGACTTAAGTCCCAATGTCTTCATTGAGACCTAAGCATCAAATCCTGCTGAGAATTGGACTGAGGAGATCGTTAGATTATTTCAAAAGACACTTAGGTGACTTCTGATTCATTTAGATTCTGTGTAGCATTTTTAAAGCTTCAGAAGGATGGAATTTAGGTGATGTTCAAAGTGTTCAATATTGTGTTCCTCTACGAGCATACTTCTATCTAATACAAGTGACAGCCCTGTCACTTGTCTTCCAGTCTTCCTTTGCTATGCATGAGGAAAATGCAGCAGGAAACTGCCTAAACTTGCCACTTGAGCTGCTTAGAAAAGGAGCTCTAAACAGAGGTGATGGTGTTCTGTCAGTCCATTATGGCCCGCATCATTCTCTCAGCTCCTTTTAATCAGTGTCTCCAAAAGTGTAAAATAGTTCTGTTTTAAATTGGAAAGTGAAATCCAAATAGCTGCTCTGCCTGAAGAAACTTGACTCCCTGTTGTTGTCGAGGGTCTTCTCGGGTCTGTTCACTCAGTCTGTTCTCTGTTGAAGGTGTTCCACTGTGTACGGACTAGTTAAGTAGACAGTGGGCCAGAAGGAGGATTTTTATAACGAAACTCACTTGCTGAGTGGTTAAGGCATGCACTGCGGGTGAAGGCACACATGGGCTTCAGTCCTTGCTGCTATGAATACTTTATTTAAAACACTTAAAATATTAATTGAAATGTGGATTCCAGTCTCTATTGTTCATGCATTTTACATGAAAAAGTCATTAGATAAAAGCATCAGTTGCTGTTAGCGAAGCTGCTGGTATACTGGACCTCCTGCTCTGAGCTGTCTGGCCAAGCTACTAGGTTACTAAATCAATCTCTGACCCACTGAATCTTTGAATTCTCTTCATGTGCTGTGGAGAATTTACACAAAGGGTAATAAGCACATTAATGTTGCAGAACAGCTTTTAGCAGAGCTGCACAAACAGCTGAAGCAGTCTGGATCCAGACTATGAATTCATAGTGCCTGGAATTCACTACTGCTCCAGACACACAGAGCCTCCCACAGTCCTGTGAATATCCTGTGTTTCTGACTGGACTCTCCAGGACTGACTGCAAGGAACCTTTACAGTTTCCAGACGTGAAAGCAATGTATATCACCTCGCTGGCCCAGCAGGGCTGGAGCCTCAAGCACTTCTCCAGCAGAGGAGACTGGTCAAATTGGGAAGGAGACCTCGTAATGTTTCCTAAGAGGCCGTGGTGACAATTAATCCAGAAGCCCTGGCTTTTAGGCTTCGTGGCAGGAAATAGGATACAAAGGTTTCAATTCCCTCAGGCGGTGGATGTGAACTTATGTTTCCCACCTTCCAGCAATTAGCCCTTCCTGTAAGAAAAGGGGGAGAAACTGCCTTTTCCTCCTCTCCCTTCAGCTGGGATTTAGAAGTAGCTACAGGAGTAGCTACTGTTCCAAGGTACTTCTCAGAGCTTGGTTCTTTAGGCTTACTTGGAAAAATGGCTTACTGAAAAAAAAAAAAAAAAAAAAAGCAAAGGCAGTAAATTACTAGAATATGATGAAACTTAGAAGTGAGTTCAGCATGGGCTCCTCAGCACTCTGCAGACCAGTGGGCTGATGGATCTTGTGCAGAAGCAGAATTTCAGACAGTTCAAAAACCTGTGAGCTCAAAATCATAACTTAGGTGTCTAGAGACTGAGGGCATTGAAAGGAAGAGCTCAGATTTCTAGTTCCAACTTAAGTTAAAAATTAAGATAATGATAAAAATAACTAATAATAAATTATAGTAACAAAAATAAAAATATTTTTTAAAACTTCATTTTTGAAGTTGAACACTATTCCTCAGCTCTTACTCTTCAGCTTCAAATGGACAATTCAGAAACAGCAGTTTCTGGATATCATGTATGTAGAAGGAAAAAAACTTTTATGCCCTTCTAAAGATGGCACGTGGTTTACCTTGCACTCCTCCTTACTCTGAGAAATACATCAGTGACAATGGTGACAGCAGAAAAATGAGAGTTTTCTTTCCTATCCAATCTCTTGGTAACACCTGGTATTCTAAGTGTTTGAGATGAGAGGACATTTCTTAGAAAATGCAATGCTCCCTATCCCAAAAGATACTGGTGTCTTTCTGTGCTGCACCTGAGGACAGGGCCCATCACTCAGCAGAGCTGATGAGAGGTCCGTGAGCCCAGGTCTGCTGACATCGGCCACAGAGCCATGTCTGAATGTGGCAGCAGTGGAAGATCTGGCCCGTCGTGTGCCCTGGAGGAACGCAGGGATGTCTACGCATCCTGATGGCCCTGTTTGTTGTGTGTGGTTCCACACTTCACAAATCTCTTGCAAGGCAGTACTTCATAGATAGAAGGGTACCTCTGAAAAGCCTCTTGTATGCCAGGAGCAGCTTTCAGAGGAGCCTGCAGTGAAAATATTAATAAATGTGTAGCCGCTGGATTCTAATCATCCTCGCTTCAATATGCTGACTGATGAGGTGGCTTATGCTGAACAGCTCCCTCCCTGGGGAGTGGTGCTCACCAAAGAGCCTTATTAGCACTTGACAGGGTCATTTAAATATAATGCATTCTTTGGTGCCTAATTGTGAATATTGACAAAGCTGGAAGCAGTCTACACGCAATCAAAACAATGGCGGCAGAGGTGACCGCATGGTTGTTTGCCATTACCATCCACCTGTGTGCTGTTACTCCTTGCCTTGCCCCGTCAGAGCCGCTCGGCTCCAAAATTGCTATTGGTGTGTTGCTTTAAAAGGGCAAAGGAAAGAGTTCTTACGCAAAATTAAATCAGAAAATGTTAAGCTTGCTATCCTTTCATGAGGTTTTTGTTTTCACTTTTGCTGTGGTTTCTTTCACCTTCACACATTCACAAAAAAAAAAAAAACTTTTTTATTTAACATTTTCTCTTTGTTTTGCAAAGTGCTTTGTGGTATTCTCCATTGGTTGCATTTAATCCTTTGGACAAGGTTTTCTTTCTTTTCCTGCGCTCACAAACGACTTCTCACTGATCGTACTAATTGTACGGCATCCACTTGCTGCTTTCTTTTTTGTGACATGGGTGCTTTGATGATGTCACATCCATCCATATGCTTCACTTTTAATTCAGTGCAGGCATCTCAGGGAATATCTGTGGGGGTGTGAAGAGGGGCTTCTATAAAAGGGTTGACTCATGGGAATGTGACATTTGTGTGCCACAGCTTTAGTAGCTAAATATACTCTGGAATTGTTGTTTCCGAGCTACACTGCATTTCTTGCCAAGATGAAAATGTGTAGTGCAACCCGTAGAGTGGGAACCATGTGTTGCCATCCCGCCAGCATTTTCATTTTGGCCACTAAGGAATCAGCACTTTGTTACTGCAGAATGAAAAATCAGCTCTGATTGGGCAAACTGCACCCTCCTTTTCCTCTTCTTCTCCATCTCCACTGTCTCCCATGCCCCCCCAAAAAAAAGAAAAAAGAAAAGCAGCCAAAAAAAAAAAAAAAAAAAAAAAACCATGTTCCAGAGTATGTTTATGTTTTGTTTCCTTTCTTGCTGTGTTCTCAGTGTTGATTTGGTTGCGTGTTTCTCACCTCTGTCCGAGCGGCTCTCCTCACCCTGCCACATCTAACCCTCCTTCTGCTGCCATTGTACTTAGTGTCCCTCCCGGGGTGGAGGCTTCCGCGCGCGGGACGTTCCAAGGCTTTACCCTGCACACCCACACAGCCCCCTGCCCCTCTCCGTAGCGTAGTCCTACTAACGAAGCGGCACCCAGAGAGGCCTCTGTGAAGAAAACGGGGAGATTTTCTTCAAGAGCAGCCGGCCTTACCCCCAGCCCCACTGCTGGCCCTTCTGGACCCTGCTGGCCCTTCTCTACTGTCTCCTCTCCGTCCTGCCTCTCTTTAGAAATGCCTCATGCTTTTCAAGTCCTGGATTCATTAGCACAAACAGAGCCAACTGTTCGGTTTTCTCACTCACTCCCGAGATGTCTGGAGCCTACCCTTTAATCATGGTGTTGATAAATTGGCTGCAAATGTGGCTTACAATGTCTCGGTTCTGCTACAGTTTCTATTCCACAGTATTCAGATGGAGATGGTTTAGCTGGGCATTGAAAGGTGAAAGTGTAGGGCTATTCTCAGCAGGCTTAATACTTGTCTTCTTACTTGTCCCAGCACTCACATAAGTAAAGATTACAATGTGGCCTCTCATTTCTTTACAAGTCTTTTGCCAGTATTCACACAACGAAGGTAGAGAGCTGATTGGAAACAGGATGCCATGCACGCAGTTTACACAGTTTACTGTTGCTGGTGTTTTTGGATGTCAAGAATGCTGCTATAGCTACTATGTGTGGTAGATCCCTCTTTTACCCTTCTATTAACAACAGCAGCCCTTTCTCTGATAAAGAATTCACAGACATCATCAGCAAGAGTCAGCTTATGTGTTTGGAGATGACTGGTATTGGGGAGCCACGGGCTGTTCATTTCAAAATGTGACTCCAGAAGATGTTTCT